CTTCGAAAGAGCTCCTCTCTATATTGGGTGCGTATCAATCCAAGAAGTTTCGCTTTTTAGTAACAGGGGACGAGTCTTGGTTTCAATATGCAACAGAAGCCAAAATCATGTGGATCCCGAAGGATGAAAATCCGCAAACATTCCCGAAGAAAAAAATTGACACACCAATGATGATGTTGTCGGTTTTTTGGGGCGTGAATGGCATCATCGCAATTGATATTCTTCAAAAACCTAATACGATGAATGCTCAGTATCTAATTGACAATGTTCTTACTCAAATTATCAATTCTGATGAGTTTGAGAAATCCAAACAACAAAAACAAAAGTTTGCAATTCATTTTGATAATTCAAGAGTTCACAAAAGTCATAAGGTAATGAATTACTTGGTGGAAAACAATGTCAAAGTTGTTCCAAACCCAATTTATTCACCTGATATTGCACCCTCTGACTTTTATTTATTCGGCACGCTAAAAAAGAGAACTGAAGGACGCGAATTCGCGAGTCCAGATGATCTTGAAAATTTTGTAAGAGAGCAATTTGAGCAATTTTCTCATGATGATTTAAAGCGTGTCTTTCAAGCCTGGATCGATCGCTGCGAACGCGTGATTGAATCCAATGGTGATTATATTTAAATAAACTTTATATATATGTAACTTGTTTATTTCTATTCGCAGTATTCAGGTTTGTGCTAAACACACCTTTGGACACCCTATATTTTTTTTTCGAAAAAATTCGAAAAAAATTCTTAAAATTCAAAAATCCCTTAATTCCTGAGGATTTTGGAAAAAAGTTTTTACATGAACATGTGTATATTATATGAAGTATATTGATAAGGTAAAAATCAAATTTTATTGCATATTCATCGAGAAAATAAACTAACGAATTCCTCAAAATTGAGAGGGTAATCCTCCTCTCAAATAAACGTACATACGGGTGCACCCTTAAACCTGTGAAATTAATTAGTGAATTGCATCCAAGAAATGTATATTGCCAAAGTGTAGTATTCATAATCGAATTGAAAGAAATTAAAGAAGAACACCCCGAAAAAGCTGAATCTCCAACTTGATAAACATTTGATGCATTAATATATGTCAGCTTTTTACAATTCGAAAAACTTTTGGTTCCTATTATGGTGATTCCAGTTGCTTCAAATTTCTCGAGATTAGTGCATCCTCTGAAACATTCAGTTCCGATAATTGGAATTGTTAAACCTGTGAAATTAATTAGTGAATTGCATCCAAGAAATGTATATTGCCAAAGTGTAGTATTCATAATCGAATTGAAAGAAATTAAAGAAGAACACCCCGAAAAAGCTGAATCTCCAACTTGATAAACATTTGATGCATTAATATATGTCAGCTTTTTACAATTCGAAAAACTTTTGGTTCCTATTATGGTGATTCCAGTTGCTTCAAATTTCTCGAGATTAGTGCATCCTCTGAAACATTCAGTTCCGATAATTGGAATTGTTAAACCTGTGAAATTAATTAGTGAATTGCATCCAAGAAACGTATATTGCCAAAGTGTAGTATTCATAATCGAATTGAAAGAAATTAAAGAAGAACACCCCGAAAAAGCTGAATCTCCAACTTGATAAACATTTGATGCATTAATATATGTCAGCTTTTTACAATTCGAAAAACTTTTGGTTCCTATTATGGTGATTCCAGTTGCTTCAAATTTCTCGAGATTAGTGCATCCTCTGAAACATTCAGTTCCGATAATTGGAATTGTTAAACCTGTGAAATTAATTAGTGAATTGCATCCAAGAAATGTATATTGCCAAAGTGTAGTATTCATAATCGAATTGAAAGAAATTAAAGAAGAACACCCCGAAAAAGCTGAATCTCCAACTTGATAAACATTTGATGCATTAATATATGTCAGCTTTTTACAATTCGAAAAACTTTTGGTTCCTATTATGGTGATTCCAGTTGCTTCAAATTTCTCGAGATTAGTGCATCCTCTGAAACATTCAGTTCCGATAATTGGAATTGTTAAACCTGTGAAATTAATTAGTGAATTGCATCCAAGAAATGTATATTGCCAAAGTGTAGTATTCATAATCGAATTGAAAGAAATTAAAGAAGAACACCCCGAAAAAGCTGAATCTCCAACTTGATAAACATTTGATGCATTAATATATGTCAGCTTTTTACAATTCGAAAAACTTTTGGTTCCTATTATGGTGATTCCAGTTGCTTCAAATTTCTCGAGATTAGTGCATCCTCTGAAACATTCAGTTCCGATAATTGGAATTGTTAAACCTGTGAAATTAATTAGTGAATTGCATCCAAGAAATGTATATTGCCAAAGTGTAGTATTCATAATCGAATTGAAAGAAATTAAAGAAGAACACCCCGAAAAAGCTGAATCTCCAACTTGATAAACATTTGATGCATTAATATATGTCAGCTTTTTACAATTCGAAAAACTTTTGGTTCCTATTATGGTGATTCCAGTTGCTTCAAATTTCTCGAGATTAGTACATCCTCTGAAACATTCAGTTCCGATAATTGGAATTGTTAAACCTGTGAAATTAATTAGTGAATTGCATCCAAGAAACGTATATTGCCAAAGTGTAGTATTCATAATCGAATTGAAAGAAATTAAAGAAGAACACCCCGAAAAAGCTGAATCTCCAACTTCGAAAACCTGTGATACATTAATGAATTCTAATTTTTCACATCCATTAAATGCTGATACCCCGATTTTTTGAATTTTGTTACCATATACAATTTTTAGTTTTGTGCAACCCATAAAACTTTCTTGATTGATAAATTCAACGTTTTCAATATTTATTGTTTCTAATGAGATGCAATTGTGCAACGCTAGATATCTAACTTCATTTATATAAGAAAGATTTATTTCCTTCAATGAGCTGCATTCATCAAACACTTTTGCATTTAAATATCTTATCAATGGCAAATCTATCTTTGTAATACTTGTACAATGTGCAAAAGCAGCGTTAGATATTTCAAATATATTAGTTATTTTGAAATCAACTAAATTTGTACACCATATAAATGCATTTTCCATAATAAGTCCAACTTGATTTCCTCTGATATATGATAAATTCGTGCATCCCCAAAAAGCTGAAACTCCAATATATTCCAAATTGTTAAACTCGATACTTGTCAATGAAATACAATCCTTAAATGATTCCCATCCTATCCTCATTAGTTTGGAAAAATTGAATTCTTGCAATAAATAGCACCCAGTAAAAGCTCTTGCTTGTACTTCAGTGATATCTTCACAAAATGTTAGATTCTTCAATTTGTTGCAATTATAGAAATCTAATTCTTTTATTATTGTAACTAATGGAATATATATATGTTCAATATTAATACAGTCTGAAAACTTGCTTGATCCTGTTGCTGTCTCTAAAAGAGGTAAGTTCATTTCAATCAATGAACTACAACCTGAGAACATTCCTTTACCTGCTAAGCGAAGAAGAGGACAATTGATATTTCTCAGTCTTGTACAACCGGCGAATGGAAATTCTGATACAGCCTCTAATTTTGGAAGATTGATTTCGATTAACGATTCGCAATTTTGGAAATCTCCCGATAAAAGTGTTTGAATTGAAGGTAATTGAATATTTTTAAGTTTGTAGCAGTTGCAAAAACAATATGATGGATCACGCCCTGTGACTTTATCAACAGATGGGAATATAGCTTCTTCAAGATTGATGCAGTTCCAAAAGCACTTTTCGTTGAGAGTTTTGAGAATTGGGAATTCAACTTTCTTGAGTGTTGTCAGCATTGAGAAAGCTTCTCTCTCACCAATCCGGATGCATCGATCGCAGATGAGTTCTGTGATAGGCGAGTTAGAAAACATGTTTTTATCAATGTATTCGATTGGAGCTGTAACATGTATTTTGTTGAGATTCGGACAACGTGAGAAACATCCACTTGCATATGATGTAAATGTTCCTGATATTTTGACAGCTTTGAATTCAGTACGACCAGAAAAATCGGGAACTTCACCATCTCCTGAAATCTCATAAAATCCATCACCGATTAATGTTTCTGAACCATGCAGTAGCTGATGATGTGAATATACTATCACAAAACCAAATTTAAAGAGAGATTTTAAAATATTAAACAACTCAATAGAATTATGATAAGAAAACTAGTTCAATATATTGCGGATGTTACAAAATCCGCAAAGTTAATATCACTACTATGATTTCATTAGAATCTGACACTTTTTAGATGAGTCAGAATGATCGTTATTGGTTCTAGCGACAATTTTTATTTCCAGAAATTGAAGCAAATATGATGTTACATGAGAAAAGAACTACTTCCAAAAAATCTATATTCATGTTGAAAAGATACGTCGAATGCATGCAATACGAAAAGAAGCATCTCAAAGGTCAATGTGCATATAACCATTAATTTTACACTCATTATTCCGCAAAATTGCTAAACAAATATTCAAGAACTGATAAAAAAACTTATATCAAGTAATATCTAAGTTTCCAAATCCAATATTGCCTTAAACTTCAATCATGATGATATAAATCACTATTATTTTGAAAATTTAGATTTATTGTCTTTTTTTCATGTCAACTCGTCATGGTATTAATTCATTCTTCCACACATACAATTGGTGAAAATATACGGACTTAAGATCTTCCTTTTTAAAGAGAAAATTATATCTTTGTGTGTTGTTGCCCAATTCTCATTGAATTGTATCTAGAATTTTTAATATTAATGGAATTTTAAAACAATAACCAAATTTTGCAAAAAGAACTTTCATGACAAATTTTTTCAAAAAAAATTAACTAAAAATATTTCACGATCAAATTTCACGCGTCAATTATGGTTAGCAAAATGATCTCACGAAATTTCTGAAGATAATTGAAAGAAAAATAATTTGAAGATCCGAGTGTAAAATAATATGTTTTAAATTAATATTCCAAAATAGGACAAGTAAAGTGAAGTGATTTCCCGAAACCAAATTTTTGAATTAAAAATTATCGTTACTTTGAAGTGATGTCTCAACCAGTTGATGAGTCCCTCGAGAAGTGGAAGAAGGAACTTGAAGGCGATAAGGATGATCCACGTGCCAATCCAGCTGACGATCCACGCCGTTTCATTTTGAATTCTTTCAAGGTTGTTATCGAAAATGGTGAAACATACGAATTCGATTTCACAAAGGACGGTCTTGAGAAGGCTGCCAAGACACCTTATATTCTTAAGGAAGGAGATACATTCCACTACGAACTTAAATTCCATGTTCATCATGAATTCCTTTATCGTGTAATGCTTATCCAGAAGAGCAAGAAGACCCTCGGTTCTAATGAACAAGAATTCGAAATCGGTAACTTCCCACCAAAGATTGCTGAATTAGAAAAAATTATTCCAGATTGCGAAGTCCCAGCAGGATTTATCGCTCGTGGCAAGTACGATGTCCTTAACACAATTGTTGATTCCAAGGGCACAAAGCTTTTCGAATTCAACTCCAAGTTCGAAGTCGTTAAGGCTTAGTAAAGATATTTTTTTCGAATAAATCATTACGGATTGAATGGCCTTTATCACTCATAATATCGTTTTGTTATGTCCGATTCAACGATCACATATTTTTTTCTTACTCTCGTATGAATCAAAAAAAAAATTTACATCCAAATCTTATCGAAATTGGCACTTTTTTAGCTGTAAAGTCCATGACTGAATATACTGAACAATTAGACCCTTCATGGACCCAAAAGATATATAATGGTCTTAAATCATATGTTCCGGCCTCAGGAACTGTTCCTTCTGAAGTTGTTCCAGGAAAATATGAAGGCGGTTTCCAATTATGGGAATGTACTGTTGATCTTCTTAAATATATGGAACAATTTGATTATAAGGGCAAAAACGTATTCGAATTAGGCTGTGGAAGAGGTCTTCCTGGAATTTATGCTGCTTTGCACGGTGCAGCCAGTGTAGTTTTACAAGATTACAACAAAGACGTAATTGAAAAGTTAACAATGCCAAATGTCAGACTTAACGAATGCCCTCAAGGAATTATTGAATATTCTGCAAGCGCATGGGCAGATTGCGAAAAATTATTTACAGCAAAGAAATATGATTTTGTTTTAGCATCAGAAACAATATACAGAAAGGAACAGCTTCCTGATTTCATCAATGCCATCAAACATCTCTTAGCTCCAGACGGTATTTGCTTAGTCGCCGCAAAGAGAGTTTACTTCGGACTTTCTGGAAGCGTTTTTGACTTTGTTGAAGAAATCAAAGGTACATTTAACCACGAAATGTATCATGTAAAAGATCCAAGCATTAACTCAAAGAGAGAGATTGTTATCTTGAAGTGGAAGCAATAGAAATAAACCTTATAGAATTTTACTTTACTTTTATGCAAAATCTTTTGACCAAATTTTGGAAAATCTGGTTTCAGAAACGCCAAACTTTTGGATTTTGGATCAATTACGTTTGCAAAGCTTTTTTGCTATCAAAATCTTTGAATCATTTTGGAGGGCAAAAAAATTGTTCTTTGAATTTTATAATGCAAGCACAAATTATATTATGATCTAATGATGTAAATTCATATTTTAAATTAAAATTATCATTTTATCAAAATTCTGGCCAATGATTGATCCTATTCTTGATTTGGTCAGTGAAGAAGTTAAGCTCCATCCATGCCAGGTTCAGGCAGATTGTCCTTGGTGCAATGGTATGGAATATAGCCATTCAAGTACATATTTATGCATGCATAGAGAAATTCTCGATTTTGCAAGATGGATTTTGCCAACAGAAGAAGAAAAACATCTCAGATACTTGGTTATCAAACGTTTTCGTGTAGCAATTAATCAATTATGGCCAAATGCTAAAGTTATTTGTCACGGATCTACTGCAACAGGAACATTTTTACCTAATGGAGATTTAGATTTCTGTGTTCTTGGAGCTCCTTCAGGCAATGATGAAGATTTACTGACAGAACTCAACGATCACCTTCAAGCACTTCAAGTTGTTTCGAATTCCGCTGTTATCAAGGCAAAGTGTCCGATTATATCTGGTACAGAGAAGCCATTCAACTTCAAAATCGATATTTCCATCAATAATGAAAATGGAGTCTTAAATATTAAGCGAAATCAATACTATTTCAGCCATTATCCGACATTACTTCCTCTTGTTATGCTTATGAAGATATTCCTTCTTCAAGAACACCTCGATGAACCATACAAAGGTGGAATTTCAAGTAATACTTTAATTCAACTTTGTCTTTTCATTATACAGGCATCGAAGAACGACATCAATATGAATCTTGGTCGTCTTATTTGCAGTTTCTTCAGTATTTTCGGAAGAAATTTCAATTACTTTACAACAGGAATTTCCACACGCGAAGGAGGTTCATTATTCTCCAGAGTACAAGCAGATAGGATGCAATTTAAGTCTCCTATTACATTGTGCATTGAAGATCCACAACTTCCAGGAAATTTCCTCGGAGAAAACGCTTTTGCCACTCCACACTTCCGAAATGCTTGTAATGATGCATTTACACGTATATTCAGAAGTAATGGCCGTTCTCCATCAATTCTTCTTAGATTTATCAATTATCCGAAGTTTCTCATTTCCATCAGAGAACAGCTTCAGAAACAGTACCAGTCATTATTAGGAACTGCTGTTGAAGGTATCAAGCTCTCTCTTGGACCGAAGAACGACAGAGATAATAATGACAGAGGAAACAGGTACCATGATGACAGGAGTTACAGAGATGATAGGTATCGTGATGATAGAAGTTATAGAGATGATAGAGGACCAAACAGAAACAAAGATGACAGAAATTTCAACAGAAAAAGCGAATGGGGCAGACAACGCTCATACAACAGACGCGATGACTTGGATGATGATAATAATTCTTATCAAAGAAGGAATTCAAACAAGGATAGACGTGGATATCGTAATTGATTATAAAATGTTTGGTTTTTATATTTAATTGTATATTTTTAGCCATAATTCATGTAAATATTGTTTGTGTGATATAATTCTCTTCTTAATCTTATAATATTATGCGCAATAAACGAAATATAAATAATTATTTTATTTAAAATTTGATATTTTTCATCATTCATATAATAATCTATTAGTTCTCCAAAAATATTTGTATTCTGTTGTTTTAAATCTAATAAAACTCTTGTTCAAAATTCCAGAAATATTTTAGAATTCAAAAAATGACTAAAAATTTCTGAACTTTTCAATTGTATGATTTGTATTATTTTAAAATTTTGATTTCTCAAATCGTGAATTCTAGTGGTATTCTGGATTGTTATCAAGTTTCAAAGCTTTTTTTCGTTCATTTGCAATTTAGGATTGATGAAAAATAAATAGGGTCTATCACCTAAATTTCAAAAATGTCAACTTGTAACGCAATAGGAGCTTTCGAGAAATTCGGATGCTTCTGTGGCACTCTTTCAGCTTTCATTTATTTCGTTGTTCAGTTTCCTCAGATATATAAAAATTACAAAAGAAAAGCAACAATTGGATTTTCACATTATTATGTCGTAATCAGACTATTCGGAATTTCATTTTTCGTTGTTAACTCAATAATCAAAAAGGTTACATGGGTATTTATTCTTGCAGGTTTTCTTTTATTCTTTTCGTATAGTATTCTTCTTATTCAACATGCATATTACGAATTTAAACATTGGGATTATTTGTATTTCTTGATGATTATAATTCCACTCGTTCTTTCAATATGTTTTCCTTCAACAATTAATATAACAGATTTCGTAAGCCCGATTTGTCAAGTTGTTTGCTATATTCCGTATATAATAGAATGCCTACAAAAAGAAACAACATCTGGAATATCAATGCTAAGCTTACATTTTAATTTTCTCGGTGCAATCTTCGGAATTTTGATGTGCACTATATCAATCCAATGCGATTCTGCTGGGTGGTTATTACACATAATATCAATATGCCAATCTTGCGCTATTTATTTAATTGCAATAGATTACGACGAATTTGAACTTTTTGATACATATAAGAAAGCACCAGAAGGCTTCAGAAACCATGCTGATTTTGAAGCAATGGGATCAGCTTAATTTCGGTATACCTATCTCATTTTTTATTTTTATTTGTTTTGTTAGATCTAAAATATACGTTTTTACTAATATATTCTTCATACAAATCTTTATTCTATAACAAAATAATACAACATATATAAATTATAAATAATCTGCGTTTCGGAGATTATGTGATAAAGCTGCAGGCTTTTTAGATTTAAGATTAGGATCCATGTTTCCATTCATTACTATAAATGCTAAAATTAGACCACCAAATCCGAATCCAAATAATATTATTGTAAGAATTATCTGAAATGTAAAGTTTGTTTGATAAACAAACAACGGGATTGAATTAGTCCATGTATGGTTATCAATTGAAAAAGAAATCTGAAATTCTCCCGGAGATAATTTTGGTGTTTGGCAAATAATGATTGGTTGAGAAGTCGAAGGACAAGAAACAATCGTTTCTCCAAAACGTCCGTATCCTTCTTTAATTGTGTCTGGTTGTATTTCGAAAATAATATCAGTCTTTTTTCCAGAACTGATTCTGAAAGGATTTATGGAGAGGAGTTTAATATTAGTTGAACTGTCTTCTGATTCGTCCTCATGTTTAGATATTTTATGTCTTTCCGCGCTTCTAAAATCTGATGAAGAATCATCATATATGTCATCATATTCAGCAGGAGCCATCCTGAAATATTCATCTTCAAGACTTTTTCCTGCGAAAGCTGGTTTTAGAATGTTTTTTTGTCGATCTATTTCTGTTATTGGTTCATCTGTAGGTTCTGGTGTATAATTCGTAGTCTCGTTGACGAGGTCAACATCCTCTTCTAGGTCTTCAAAAGAAGGGAGTTCTTCGCCTTTTGCGAGTTGAGTGAAAAATAAAAGAAAGAGAATTTTTGGTTTTTTGAGAGATTTTTTTGGATAAATTTAAAAAATTTAGTCATTATTACATGATAGAAAACAAGACATTTATTTGTATCATTAAAACTTAAATCTTAAGATTTGATACAGATTTTTTTTGTTATTTCATTTAAAGGACTTAACTGTGATAATAAATCCATGAAGGAGTTATCTCATGAACATGGCTCATGAAATGGACTTAATGTGGATCCAATAAATAATTTCGACTCATTTCAGGGTGTAAATCAAAAAACATCTTCAAATACAGTAATATGCTATGTTGACTCATTTCTTGGAATACGGATCGTAAACTAAAGAAACTTTGTCATCTAATGGACTTCGCGCTTGTTGTAATGATATTACTCCAATTCCTAGAAGAGATTTAAAGTGAAATTCACCGTAGTATAGCGAATCATTGATATTTCGACTTAATACGGACATCTTTTTGGCGTTTGGACATCGTTTAAGATAAGATATGATTTCTCTTCTACCCGAATTTACAGACATAGTAAAAGGAGTTCCGTTCGGAAGTCCAATATGATAAGAATGATTTTCTGTAATGTAAAGGATATGCATTTGAACCATTTCACGTATATTTTCATCATTGAATCCGAATTTTTTAAGTTCTGTTTCGGATATGATAAACTTTAGATGCTTTTCCAAAACTTTATCGGCGAAATCAGTTGCAAGCTGGCTACCAACAGACTTGAATTGATCTATGTAGTCATGGAACAACATGAAGAATCTTTCTGAGGGAAAATCTGGAAGATCAACGTAAAATTGTCGAATTATTTTCTTTCTTAAGAGGATTTCTAATTCACCGCGCACAGACTTCTTATTAGTGGATTCGAACAAAATTTGAGCTTCTGGGATGATAGGGAGAGTTGGTCGGTATCCTCCATAATCATCCGCTTTGACTCTAGGCTTGAGGAATTTATAGTATTCGTTTTTTAATGACAATATGATCTTGTGCGTATTATTTATGGCTCTTTCTATTTCGCTTCCATCAGATAGAAAATCGGTCATATAAAATTTTGACTAATTTTGATTTGAGTCAAAAGTTATTTTATTCATATCTCATTGATTTCACTTCCTTGCAATTTTTTTTGATAAATTCCAAATAACGAATTAAAATTTATTACAATCTTATTGTTTTTATACACTATATATCATCAAATCTTCTAATCTACCTATAGTTCAGCTGAAATATAGTTTATTTACACATAGAATCACATATTGACGTAATATGTGTTGTAATACAAATATATAATATATTTTATACCTCAAATTAGAGGCCATACAACTTGCATATAGGATCACTGTAAGATATATGATATATATCTCTAGAATATGGGTATTAAATGTATAATATCATGACCTGTAAGTCAATCCTCAACAAGATTGTCCTCAAGATCGTTTTCATTCCAGTCAATACTTTCCGTACTTATCTTCCGCGGTTCCTCAATATAAAAGTATCCAAAAATTGCACCAATTGCACTAATAATTCCATAAAAAATTATTGTTGCAGATTGTCCCATACCGTTTTTCATCCATGGGTATAAGAAAATAACTAAAAACGAACATAATTGATTTACAAAAGTGACCATTGTTGCAGACATTGATCGTATTGAACCAGAAAAATATTCTGGAACTATAAACCATGGTATTGGTCCAAGTGCTAGTCCAAAAAAGAATAGATAAAAACAAATTATTATGAGAACAACATAGTTCGTAATGTTATATTTGAGATTCAGAGAGAACAGAAATAGCATGATTGAACAACCTAAAGAAGAAATCGAAAAAAGAGATTTTCTTCCGATAGAGTCTACGATAGGTCCGCAAATCAAAACACCAACTAATTGAGCTAACATACTTATAGAACTGGCAATTCCCGATCTAAGTGTGAGGCCAGCGTCTCTGAAATTTTGTTCAAGATTCGATAGTATTGCGTTAACTCCACAAAATTGTTGAATAACCATCAATGTTAATCCAACAACAAGTTTTGATGTATGTATATCTTTGAACAATGACTCATTTTGATTTTCTTCGTTATCTGATTTTTGTTCCAACGGAGAAGTTTCTGGGCATAGCCAAATTAAACAAGCACCTAATATTGATGTTGCAATTCCTGTATAGAATAACGTTTTCCAATGAGCATATTCACCCTGAATGTACATTATTGTAATTCCTAAAACAACACCAATCTGATGAAGATTGCCAAAGAATCCACTATATTTAGACGGTGCTATTTCTATTAAAATAGTTGGGCATAATGATGTGAAACCTCCAACCTCAAGGCCAACAAGCGCTCTACTTAATATTGCAATCCAAAATCTTTTCTTGGTCATGAATAGACAAATTATGTATATTATTGCTGTAAATAAATGTAAGATTGTAAATGCGAGTTTTCTTCCGATATATTTGAGAATGAATGTGATTAGAAATGGGCCAAACATACCAAAAAGAGGAGAAATTATGTTATACCATAAGAGATCTCTATCTGATTTTTGCCATTGAGTAAAAAGCAAGGATAATGGTGTGGGTATTCCTACGCTAATTCCAAAATTAACACTACCCAGCATAACAATGAGACCATAGGCTAAAAACTTGAAGAAGTTCAAAAGCAATGGTATTTGTTTCTCAAAAATTTGAATTAATTCAATTTTGTAAAGAATGTTTCAATTCACAAATTCAATTTATCGATATTTGAATTCATGACGGGATTTAGAATTTGTACTGAGAATAAGTTAATAATTCATATTAAAACAATTAGATAATTGTAAAAAATTGAATTATATAAGAGGTTTATCTTTTTAAATTGACAACTCAGGAAACATACAACAATAAATGATTCAATGCTAAATTAGACAGAGTAGGCGCTAAAGAATGCCTCAATCATGCATAGGCTACATTCTTGCTAGTTATTTATGCATCCTTACACCAATTTAAAAATAAATTTCTCGAATTGTTACAATAATCATTTTTCTATTTTAAAATAGATACATAATTAAATTACTAAGTGGAATCACCAAAATAAATTTAGAACTAACAGACCAATGAGTAGGTGACAAAAGTGCATACTCTTAAACAACCATCGGATTTCCGGGTGAAATCGTGACACACTTTCGTCTTTCGTAGGCAGTGGTGGTTGTTACAAAAGGTAACTTCGAATGTAGCGTGAAATCTGCAAAAAAAATTCTGAAATTTGAATGGAGAACACAAAAATTGAATAGTTTACGTCAATAAAAAAGAGAAAAATTAAGCCAATGTGTCTCGAACCTAGGACTTAGAGCAGCAATCCCACTGTTTATCCCATTACACTAGATGCATCTCTCACCTCACTGAATTAGATCAACTATATGATAACTTTTTCCCCATTATATTCTGGTGGAAAAGTGACAAATAGCAACTTTGACCCTCTCTCACAGACCAAATTCAAAATTACACCTTGGTCCGGAGACATAAATTTGTAATTTTTACTATTCTACTATAGAATGCTATTAATAATATAACATTAACCAGAAAACAAGAATCTTAAATTAGGTGTTCGATTTTGTCACAATTTTTCTTTGGGGTTTCTATTTACGTTTTTTAAAAACAAGTGTAAAAAGAAATATCTATTAATATTTATTTAAAATTTTGCAAAACAGAAAACGATGTTTGAAATTTTTGAATGCGATGAAATTTTAAATTGAATTAGCTTTTATGACGGGGCCTTTTCAATACGCGGTTGCAATTTGATGATTCTTTCATATCTAAATCTATATGAAATAACATAATATTAATTTAATTGGGCTTTTCCTCACAATATTATAGAAATTTTATTCAAATCTTTGGTCGCAAGAAGAATTGCATGATAAATAAAAACATTTAATCAAAGTCAATTTTATTTTTCATATTCAAATGGACTGAGTGTTAACATTTAACATTTTTTGCTAATTGTCGTCAAAAATTAGGCGTAAAGCAAAAATTGATATTTCATATGGTTTTATGATAGATAAGCATTATATTCCCACTCATTATATTCGTAAATTTTGAGGTTTATCCTTCGCTTTTAAGATCATTGAATTTGATTTTTTTATAAAATAGTTATATATTAGAAAATAATATGAGTTTATGTGATATTATTTTTCAGAAGATTTTATTCTATATGCCTATGAAAAGTACTCACAAAACTAACTTTTTCTTAATTATAATTAAATCTAGAATATTGTATTATGCTTAGTATTATTTCATTTTTCTCATTCAATTTAGAATTTACAAATGTCAAAAAATTGAGAGCTGTCACTTTTGATGAATTTCTGTTTATTACACTTCATTCATATTTTCATTTCTTTTAAACCTCGGTAGGTCAAAAACTTTTTTCATGTGAATAAGAATTGCGAACATTCCGTCAAAATCCAATTTAATTTCATTCACAATTTTCTGATAATTTTGAAAGATACTATCAAATTCAGATACCATCATCACAATTTTTCTGAATGGTCAGGCGAATCACTATAATCTATTGCCCAAAATAAGGATTTATGTTTTCCGCATGTATATTCATCGTTTTTATCAATTCTGTAAAATTCAAAACTATTCAAATATTCATAGCTCATATATAATTCTGCATTTTGGATGGAAGAGGTAACTACAAACTCTGTTCCATCTACTCCATCAGAGATGATTACTTTTAAGTCTAGTAGGTATCATGGTTTAGTAGATATCCCCATCACAGAACAGATTTCTGAAGCACTCATCAACGTTTTTAACTATTTTGACATTTATGGTCCCAAGGTCCCAGTACTCTATAACGTTATAACATGGATCCGATTGTTCCAACTTATTGGTGGGGCTATAATGGTTTCCAGTAGCTATATTTTCGATTCAACCACCTTAACTTTCAAAGCAATGTCTATCATTTCAGTCTTATTCCATTTAGTCCCATCCGAATACAGAGATGGAAATGAAACAACCATTCTTACTGTTTTCTTAGCAATCATGATCTTTTTTGGAATCTATCTTTTGATTACAGCTTTTTATTTCCAGAAGACATCAAAGGTTCCTAAGATATCTCTCAAAGTGCTGCCAATATTCATGGTCATCGGTCCATTTTTGTTCTTAACACTCATCGCTCAATACGCCGGCCAATTTATTTCTTCTCTTATTATGGATGTTAAAAAGCCAACAGTCGGTGGAATAATAGTAATCATTCTTTCCTTCATTGTTACTGTTGGTTATATTTGGATGTTAATTATTTCATATTCAGGAACATTAACCTTCCGTTCTACATCATTAGGAACCATCGAAGGCATACCACAAAACCATCTTTTAGTATGTACTTTGATCATTACATTCGTTACCGCGCTTACAAGTTATTGGACACAGATACCAACAACAGTCTGCCTCATTATAGCCATGATTTGCTACATTATTACATGCATGACTTGCTTCAACTGCGGTACATTTATTGAAGCTAAGCACCAGATCATGGTTCTTGGCGGATCCATCCTTGGTTTCATTATTTGCGCCATGAACTTCTATCCTGCATGGGCATCATACGAATGGTCTCCTATTTTCTTCGTTATTGTCATCGCAATTGCCATTGTTGTCTTCACATGCACAAAATTCTTTATCGAATGGAGACAGAGAAAGGATCTCATCATCTTGGATCAGTTCCAAGAATTAAACGACATCACGGTAACAAAATCTCCAAAGAAATTCCGCAGAATAGTTGGATCTGGCTATTATTTCTCACACCCTACATGCATAGATTTCACATGCTTTAAGGCAGCAGTTGAAGCTTGGCCAGAATCATTAGAAATTTGGATTGAATATGCTAAATTTACAGCAATCTATCCAGAGAACACAAAGAACTTGGAATTCATTGCACAGAACATCGATTTACTCAATAATGATACAAGTACAACAAAGGCTATCTTAGCAAATATCCAGACAATTTTGAAGACTCGTGAAACAAACCTTTCATTTGGTCTTAAGAACAAACTCGCTAAGATTTCCAAATGCTTCAACAAAACAAAGAACCGGATAAGAAATATTTGGGATTTAGTTCTTCAAGGCTCTATTGATGAAATGATCAATGCAATCAGATTATCACAGATTGCAATCAAAGAAGCAGAAGTCGAAATGAACCAATTAATCATGGACTATCCAAATAACAAATACGTTCATAGAAAATTAGCTCAATTCTACAAAGAACTGAAGGCAGATAACATTTCTTATAGAAATGCAATTGAAGACGTCAAGAAATTACAGGGAGGATTAAGAGTTAACCAAGATGTTATACATGATTTAGGTATTATGAATTTCCCAAATCTTCCAGAAGTTGCTGAATCAGAATCTGTCGGATCTGGAAATGTTCTTGAAGGCGAATCATTCAATATTGATGATGCAACAATCGAAGATGATTCTCTCCTTGAATCAACAGAAGTCATTACTCATCAAATTGATCACCACAAGATTCCTACCATCCAATACATGTACACAACAACAAGTATTCTTTACATCTGCCTTATTTTCATTCCTTTGGTTTTAATCATTGCTTTGTACAGATTATACATCAACAGAATGATTGAGCCATTGGATATGATGTATGGTGTTTCATTCATGAGAAATTTGATCAATCAGATGCCAGCTTTCGTTGGAAAGTATTTATTTGAAAAATTACCAAAATCAGATGGTTCTGGAACTCTTATGAGAGAATCAGTATTCACTACAACATCATCACTTGCATATGGCGGATTAAGTAGCACTGGTGATGTAATGAACTACTTAGTTTCATTAGTAGCAACAGCCAGCCAAATGATGTCAGGTATCAGATCATACAAATTCGGAAACAAGAGAATGGAAGCTGTAAGAGACAACTTGTTTTCAACAAATGTCAATTACAGTCTTTACCTCGATTACGAGAATGTAACAATATCAACATCATCCGTTGTTGATATTGCTTTTATGGTTTCTCAACATGTAGGAAAAATTGCATCAAAAGAAACAATCACTGCAGAAGATACATATGGATCAAATGTAATGACAAGCAGAAACAATGCCATTACATGCACAAATCATCTTAGTGATTCATTGACATCTTTCATCTTGTTAATACAAGATATGGACCAACAAAATTTGTCAATAGTCTTCATTTTGATGATTGTTCTTTTCTTGACAAATTTGTTCGCATACGCAATTACATTCAATGTACAATACGACAAACTCAAACATAACAAAGATGAGATCTTAAACATCTTGACAACATTACCAAAGAAAGTTATTTCAAGTGTCTCATCATCATTAAATTGCGTAAAAAACACTGAATCAACGTCTATTTCATTTTCTACTGCACAGATTTCTGATTCAGATATGTCAAGACAAGAAGAAGGTATCATCAAATTATTCACTTCTATTTCTGATTCAGCTTCATCATCATCTTCTGAATCCTCGAACTTAATTTTCATGACAATCATCACAATTGGTGGTTGCATTGGTTACAACTTGACATTGATTTCATATATCAAAGCTTCAACAATGTATGTCAATAATTGCAACCACTTCGATTCATTGTTTGGTGCTGTTTCTTATATGTTCGCTGCTTTCTCAGAAATCTTCAAAGTTTTGTTGAAATTTGAAGATCCAATTTACTCAAATTCATTACCAAACCTCACTGAATCTGTTTCAGAATTAGAAAAATACATTTCCAAACAACAGACATCATTCTCAAATCTCAGATTTGGTGGAAGCAAAACAACAGAAATTCCATATTCTGATTTAGAAAATTCTTTGAAAGAATCTTCTAAATTAAGTTATGTCTGCAAGAACGATACTCTTCCACCAAAGACATACTTTGAATCAGCAAGATGCTTCAGCACTGAATCACAGATCTACTTGACAATGTCATTATTAAATGGATACTTTGTTGATATGTCAAATAGAACTTCATTTCCAAAACCAAAAGATGAAACATTAGTTACAGTTGAAGACATGTGGAGTGTTGGACCAATCAATCTTTATATTTCCTTCTTCTATCCAACAGGAAATTCAATGAAGAATGTCTTTGATGCCGAATTCGACCAGATCTACAAACAAATTAAGATTGCTGGCATCAGTGTTTTAGTTATCACTTTCATTTTGACTTTAGTCATTTTGAATTCAATCAGAAACGAAGAAAAATTGCTTAAAGGAATCTTACATTTGTTGTTATACTGCCCACCAACAGTTATCCTGAAAAACCAATGCATCATGAACTTGATTTCAGGAAAATATTCAACAAAGTCCGATGAAGACATCATTAGATTGAATAAATTCAACGGAAAAGTTGTCAACAAATTGAATGATGTTGTCATTGTTTGCCATGATGATGACAATACAGTCATTGGTGTCAACAAAGCTTTCAAACAAATGTTCGGATTGACACAATCAGAGATGGTCAACACAAACATCAAAGATTTCTTCCAGAAAGATTGTTTCGAAAGCGAATCTCGCATTGAACAAATTGTTAACTCAACAACAAATGTTGTTTACACTCGCCAAGACAATAACAAAGTCTACTTGCAGTTCACAGCTTCTCACACAGGCGAAATAAAGATAATCTCTGGCCGTGATATGACACAGAACGTATTACATGAGAGATTAATCGCTGATGAAAAGAAGAAGTCCGATAAAATGTTAGCATCAATTTTACCACCAATGTTAGTTCCTCGTGTACAAGCTGGTGAAAAGAACATCTCTTTCTCTGTACAATCAGCAACAATTTTGTTCTTAGATGTTGTTGAATTCACACCATGGTGTGGTTCTCATGATGCACAGTACGTCATGAGAATGTTGAACATCATGTTCAAAGAATTCGATGCAATCACAAATGTTCATAAAACAATGACAAAAATTAAATGCATCGGTGATTGTTATATGGCTGCTGGTGGTATCTTTGATGAAGTTAACCAGCCAGCTATACATGCTAAGGAAGTTGTCGATTTCGGATGTTTAGTTATCAAGAAATTATACGAGATCGATGAGAAAGAGAATGAAAAACTTAGAATTAGAGTTGGTGTAAATACTGGTGGTCCAATTGTTGCTGGTGTCATCGGCACAGAAAAACCAACATTCGAAATTCTTGGCCCCGCAATTAACACTGCCCATGAGATGGAGAGCCATGGTGTACCAATGAAAGTACATATTTCAAGACCAGTTTACGAATTAATTTACGGTCAGCAGTTCAACATTATTGAAAGAGGTGAAATAGAAGTTAAGAAAGGAAAGATGTTCACTTATATAGTAGAACCATAATTTTATCATGAAATCAAAAAATAATTTTTTTTTTATGATTTTTTCTCAAAAATCATACTGTTTGTATAAATAATTTTATGTTATTATATTCTATCATTTAACCATGCAATTTTTGATCTCTTTTGACGAAGAATTTTCCGATTCTGTAAGACTAAGTAATAGCCATTGAACACTAAAAGAAAAGCAACAAGATTACATAGAGCAGGGCGATTATGCATTCAAATCGCAAACTGGAGTCCGTAAGTAAACCATTTTCGAACAGATCTTCAGATTTCAAATTAAATTTGATGAACAATTGACAAACAAACCAACAATTAGTTATTCACTACAAGAGTTCTTGAATCTCATTTTGTTATTGGTTTTCGGAAAAACTTCCATATATTTTATTAATAATTAACGAATTTAGATGTAGATACATTATCTGATTATAGTTTTTGAATAACTAGGAATCAATTTTAGATTTCGATACTTTTTTTTGAAAATCTGTTTTTATAATGCACAATGAACGAATTCTGTTAGCAGTATTGTAAACTATTATAATTACTATGTGAAATATAAGAAATGAAAATGTTGGATATTAAGATAAAGTACTCACAAAATCTAGATTGAGAGGCGGTCAATGACTTTTGAGGGGAAATTAACGCATGGAATTTAATATTATTTAGGTTGATATTCTTGCTTATTATTTCAGAAAAAAATCTTAAAAATTTCAATATGAAAATTGAAAGCAATTCAAAAAAATTGCTAACATGTAAATTTTAATATCCTATGCATAATTTCATATTTTGAATATTTTTTATTTTTGTTTAAAACTTAAAATTTTGCGAATTTAATATAATTTATAAAATATGATACGTATATATATTTAAAATACACTAAATTTAATTGTTAATTGACGTTTTTGGGAATGAATTTTATCAAAACATGCCTGAATCCGAAAATTTGAAAGAACGAATTACACAATCATATATGTAGAATTCAAAATACAAACTTAAAGATTGTATACGTTTAAAATTATTCAGATTGTGTTTGATTTCCACTCATTCTGTTTCTTTTGAACTCTAACACTAACATTTCATGATGATTACATGATCCATTTATACATGGTTGAATTGTTCCAGATTCTACCAGAAAATCAATCCAAATTTCTCAATGCATTCATGTTGATTGGACAAAATTTAAAATTTATCAGCCTGTTTCCAGAGAAACTCATATATTCCCTAATGAAATGTAATTTTTGCTACATTTATTTCAATCAAATTTCAAAAAATTGACTGCAGAGCTTGAAAAGGTGATGAATCATGTTGTTATTAGATGTACATATTAGATTTACTATTTCCAAAAAAATGCTCAAATTTAAATAGTTTTTAGAAAATTTGGAATTACACTCCTTACATTATATATAATTAAATGTTTAAATTTTATTTATTTTTCCCTTTTAATTTAATAACGTGCTCTATCAAAACTAACCTCTCAATTGAAGGACACAAAATCTAAGTAGTGGGGGTACACAAATTTTGTATGGAGTACGGTTCAATTTTTGAGAGCCTCACTACTTAGATTTTGTGACTACCTTACAAAACATCTTAGACTTCATATACTGAAACTCTTCTAAATGCGACAAATATGTATAGGTAATAGATTCATATAGTATTTCAATGATCGAGACTTATTCTTAATGCAATTTATTACTCAATATTGACATAGCATCAATATAAGAATGGAATAAGTTAGAAATGTACTATCATATCATTATCCTATAATTACATATCATATAGAATGATTTATTTTAAAAAATGTTGATATTTCCATATGTTTGAGTAAAGGTACATTCACTATTTTTGACAAAATTTTAAATTTTCATGGGGTTGTAAATCTTATAATAACTAGATGAATAAGGAATGAATCCCAGTATAATGTGCATCATTATATTAAACACTATATGTAAGGCTAATGATTCTATTAACACTTATGAAGATCTATAGTATTTGAGCAGATAAATTTGATAATTTCCAAAACTCTTATATTTCAAAATTAAAGTGTGCGAATGCATTTAAATGAGAGCAAAAAGAGATTGATGCTGTTAAAACTAGGTGTTAATTTGCAATTATTTCGCATCACAAGAACTACCCAGTAAATTCGGCTATCTTTCTTTGCAATTATTCTCCATTATACATATAATATAATGGTTAGGGTTTGAAGAAAAGTTACTAGAGAATTATTGACTTTTGAAATAATGCAGAATTTTACTTGAAGAAATCATTAATTTATGAGTTCCAAATTGCTAAGCATGACGAAGGATCATTAAATTTGCTACAATTAAATACACTTATTGCAGAATTAAGATTTTTGAAATTAAAAGTTTGAAATATTGCCTTTTGAATAAAAATTTAAATTTTATTTATTCATGATAATATCTTATAGAAATTAAAAAGAAAATATTTAAACCATTCAAATATTTTGAATGTCTTATCAATTTAAAATATTAAAAGATAGCTTGATTTTATATCATTAGTTGTTATCAAAGTTTTCTTCTTTTGATGAACAACAGAAAATGATTTGTTAATTACTTGTCTTCCTTTTTCGCAGCAAAATCGAAAGTTATGATGATAATCTTGCTGTCAATTTTGAAACTCTCTGATTTACAAGTAAGCATTCCTTTGGAAAAGCAGTCCTATTCTGTTTCCAAGATATTTTAAAGCCTCCATTTCATACAATGCGCAGATCTATTCGAAATTGCAAGAACTCTCAAGAAAAATGCAGCAGCAAAGAAGATTCCATAGTTTCTAGCATCAAAAATTTACAACCTTAATACAACAGTTAAAGAGAAGCTCGAAAAGAAAATATTTAACCATAAAGCTGGAAACCATTCGATATCTACTATTGGATCTAATAAAAAGTTAATTATAACATATTTAACATGCTATTTGTTGACTTTGTTCCATTATATTACCATATATATCTTTTGAAATCTAAAATATTTTTACGATTTTAACCATGTGTTGTTGAAACCATATATCAATCTTAGCTAAAGTATAGTTTATGAGTCTGTCACCATCTAACGTATGAATTTTCAAAAATGTCAAATATGTTCATTTTTCTGTAGATTCAGCCATAATTTCACGTTGTTATACTATTCAACTATTATTTAATATTTTTATCGATTTAAATATATGATGAGATGCTTAGTTCTCCTGGAAATCGATTTTTAATCGCAATTTTAACTTTCCAAAAAAAATTCAAAAATAAAAATCCCTCTCAATTTTCTCAGTTTTATAACTCGCCAAATCTCTAGCCAAATTTTTTTGGCCCGTATAAATATTGTTAGGCACTATATAGGGATGCTATTTATCCTATTTTCATCCCATTTTACTGTTATCGCCTAGTGAATGTACCTTTGTTTGAGTAAAAATTAGTGATTATTTTGTTTGGAAAATAGTAGTAGTTTCGTTCTAAAAGAAATCACGAATATTTTTTAATTTCTAATGATATTATTTGCCACTTTTTCCCCAATTTATAACAATATGGAAAGATTTGCCGATTTTTCTAACTTCCTAAACAAATCTCCAACTCCATTTCATTTCACAGAATATAGTCGTCAATTTTTTAAGTCACGTGGCTATGTAGAAAAAGATGAACGCGAAGTTTGGACAGATGTTCCTCCACGTGGATTTTTCATACGAGATGACCGCTGTTTAGTTGCTTGGAATGATAATGGACATGACAGATGTTCCATTATTGGTACTCATTGCGATAGTCCATGTTTAATTATTAAACCAAATTTCGAAGAGGTTAAATCTAATTACAATAAAGTCAGATGTGCTACATATGGTGGTGGATTATGGAACACATGGATTGGAAGAAATCTTAGGCTTGCAGGAAAAGTTGTTGTTTCAACAAACCAATTCGAATATAAAAATTACTTATTTGATTCAGAGAAAGGCATCGGAATAATTCCATATGCGGAACAACCCCCATTAGCTCCAGTTTATAACGAAGAAAATGATCTTGTTGTTACAATTGGCACAACAAATTGCACAAATCTCAAATCCTATATTGCAGAAAAGCTAGGAGTAAAATCATCTGATATATCAGAGTACGATTTAAGATTTGTCAACGAAAAACCACCAAATTGCTTTTCAGGAATCATCGAAGCACAAAGGATTGATAATCTTTCGAATACTTACGCTGCATTAACCGCATTTGCTGCTACAACTCCTTCTCCAGGAATCACAAATGTGATGATTGCATTTGATAACGAGGAAATAGGCAGTTCTACGCAATGTGGTGCCAAAGCAGACATTATACATGATTTATTACGCCGTTTAATACCATCAAAACCACAAAGAAAGGCTCTTTGCAGAAATTCAATTATTTTGTCAGCAGATACAGCTCATGCAACACACCCGAACTATCCAAATATTACAGATCCAATTGTTGAAGTCAAAATGAGCAAAGGAGTTTGTGTTTGCCTTGATAATGGAACATGTGATTCAAATATCCCCAAAATACTTCCATTTGTCGAAAAAATTGCACATAAATCAGGTGTAGGCTTGAACATGGCATTCCAATACAAAGGACAAGGCGGATCTACAATTGGACCGATTTCAGAGTCAAGATCTGGAATTACAACAATAGATATGGGAGTTCCTTGTCTTGCAATGCATTCTATACGTGAAATGTGCTCAATTAAGGACTTGGATGAGTGTGTCAAGTTCATAACTACTTTCTATACAATGGGAAAAGATGAATTTGACATATAACGGAATAAAATTTTGTTTAAACTTTCTAAAATATAAATTTATTCATTTTACTTTAGGGTTTTGATAAAGTTTGGTCTAAAATCGGATTTAGCATATTCTTAATAGTACCATGACTGATTTTATCGAATAAAAGGACAATTAAATGAATTAGTTAGGGATTCTTTTTCAAATTTTTGGACGAGGTTCACAGGAGTACACTGGTTTAATTTGTTTGAGGATTTTAGAGGAATATATATTTCCAATTATAATGTGGCTATGACATTCACTAAATCTATTTGCATATAAAAACCTCTTTATTTTTGAAATAATAAATAAATATAAGGTCGATGAAAAATTGAGCGTTTTTAAAAAACCGCCGTTTGAGAGGAAAATTGAGAGCCCCGATGTATACTTTTTGACATTGTCAAAAACTTTGAAAAGAGCAAAAAAATTTTAGTGTCAGAAAGTTTACAAATGTATACTTTCTGACGAACAGACTCTCAGAAAGTACTCAAACTGCGGTTTTTTAATTTCATAAATGGCATAGGAAGTTTTATTTATGAAATTATGAAATTGATAAGAATTTAGATTGCACCAGATCTTGTAAGAAGATCTAAAATCTTCTTATAGTTATCATTTTCGTTTTGTTTTTCAATAGCATAACTAAGAGCAGTTTTTCCAAAATTGTTTTGATGATTTAGATTCACACCAATTGAAACCAAATATTGAACAACTTCAAATTGACCTTTAATTGTTGCCCAATGAAGTGAAGTATCATTATAATTTGTTTTATCGTTTTTATCACATCCAATTTGAATGAAATATTTAACAATTTCAAGATGACCTTCTTGTGATGCAACTATTAATGGAGAAAATCCATTCTTATTCTTTTCTTTTGGATTTCCTCCAACTGAAACAAGATATTTAACTGTTTCAAGATGACCATTTAATGACGCAATGTAAATACAATTTACATGAATATTTGTTTTTGAGTTTACATCACAACCAATACTTTGCAAATATTTAACTGTTTCAAGTTTACCAAATTGTGATGCCATAAGAATTGCATTAAATCCATTAGTTTTCTTTCTCCAATCCTTGTCAAATCCATTATCAATTAAATATTTGACAACTTCAAGTTGACCTTTTGCTGAAGCATCGAGTAAGCAATTATTGCCATATTTATCAGTTGTATTTCGATTACAACCTCCTTCGATAAGAGATTTTGTTAACTTAAGGTCTCCTTTAACACATGCCCAAATAAGTTGAGTACATTCTTCGGAATTCCTTACTTCGCTCAATCCAATAGAACATGAATGAAACATTTTAATTTCGTCTCCTTTTTCTGAAAGTTCTTTAAGGTAGTTATAAACTTTATTAAAATCATTTACGTCTTTTAATTGAGAGAGTTTTGCAAAATAACTTATTGATTCAATCAATTGATCATTTTTATTATTAAGTGATGTTTTATCTTTTTCAAGAATTTCAACTTTATTTTTAAGATTTTGAATTTCATCTAATTGAGATACATGTTCTGCATTATATTTCTTTAAAAACTTGATTAATCCATGTGATGATTCAAGGTTGAAAATATTTTTGTAGCATTTAAGAACGTTGATTGCCTCTTCAAAAGTATTTACAATAACATTACACTTGTGGGCACAATTATATAAATTAGAAGAGCTCAATTTCGACTGTCCTTGTGAAAGAAGTGCTTTGAAGTTTTATGGATCAAGGGTTGTTTTCTCTAAAACTTGAAAAATAATATCTTCATCAAGAATATCAAAAAAGTTCTCATCATCAATGTACTGCTGAGTGTTATTAGCAATGTAATCGATGTTAAGCTGAAGATCACTCATTTTTATTTTTCTGGAGTTTACAATATCGTTTCATGTCTGGAGAGATGGTTCAATATTTGTTTGCAAAAAGTTAAATGTTATATTATATTCTCGTAATTACAACATTTTTCAATAAAACCGTTGTGTTGTGAAAAATTTTCCATATAAACATTTGTCAAATTCAAGTTCACTTCGGAACAAATATATACTCCAGATTGCGAAATTTCATGCTGATTCAAGTAATTTGCATGAAAATGAATTTGCGAGATTTTCATGAAGATTTCCTAATTTATTAACCATCATACCAACATATAAATTTCAACATAACATAATCATGAGCAATGTTGGAACTTAAAAAAAGTTATCATAAAACATCTTTAATTTAATAACAAGTTATATCATCTAATTATTTTCTCCAGATCCAATCAGAATAACGGAAAATGGAGCAGACATATCAGGAGAGAACTCAAGTTTGTCTTGATAATGTCCAATAGAATTGGGAATGAAATGAACAGGGAATTTAACAAAACATCCTGATTCGATTTCTACATAATCTACAGGAATTTTGAATGGTGATTTCGTTCTTACTTCTATCGACACCTTTTCTTTCTTCTTGTTCGATATTTTGAGATTTCTTCTACATAGTCTTCCTATAGTGCAAGTTCCAAAGTCCAGAGTTTCGATTTCTACCATTGGCTCCTCTATTTCCGCACAAACTTTTATAGGAATTGTTTGAACATCATTATAAATTTCTATTTCTTCATCAATCAAACCGGCTTTCGAACAAGATAATGATATTGGTAGTTTTGTCTGTTCTTTGGGCTTCAGATTAATGTATTTAGGAAGCTTTATATCTTTGCAACTGCAGTCAAATTTGATTTTCGTTGGTTTCAGGGATAAATTTTCTATAGTGATTTTGATTTCTTTTTCATCTTTCAAACGAATGTTTCCGAAATCAACAATTGTTTCGGATAAGGCGAAAGATGGCTCATCAACAAATTCATCCAATACTTCTGTTTCATCTAATTCATCAGCTTTCTCTTTGAAAACAATGATTTTCTTGGTAATTGATTTTTTGAAAATTTTTGAAAAGTAATTTTCATTTAGAAGTTTTTTGTTTTCTCTAAATAAAGCTATTTCATCACGAATTTTGGCATTAGAAAAGGCGGTGGCATAAAAGGAATTGGGCTTTAGCATCGACATTATTTGCCTCATAATTTCATCACCTGAATGCATGATTGCTTTAACTTCTCCTTCTCCATCATCGACAATGAACTTAAATAAAACCTTTTTCGCCGCTGGAATAATGGCCAAACTTGGGGATGCATGAATTTGACGAGTTGTATTTTCTTCTCCTGTGAAAATAACGAATCCAGGCCTTATTCCATTGTTGATAACTTCAACTGTTGCTTGAAGTAGACCGTTTTTGTACTCGAGATCTGATGGAGGTGAAATTGAAAGGTCAGAATAGCCTCTATATGCAATAACAGGGACAGATATTGAAGCAGCACTATTTGATGCGAATGTAATACTCGAAACAATTGAAGAATCTGGAATAATACCACATGATATTTCAAGTTTATGATTCTTTTCGATTGTATCTGGGCAATCTAGCCATTCAGGAGCATCAACATTAATTTCATCTGATCCAGTAACGGTTAGAACGTTTTCAATTATATTTTCATTTGAAACTCCAAAAAATGGAATAAAAGGCTTATCACATATCAATTGCAAATTACCTTCTAATTTTAGTTTTGTTATTTTGTTCTTTGAATTATCGATTAATTCAAGTGATGCTTTTGATTTCAATGACTTTGTGGGAGTATAAGTAATATTTACACTTTGTGTCGTATGCGGTGCAATAACTAATGTCTTAAATTGGTCATCAATAGCAAAATCATCATTGTCAAGCTGAAATGTGACGTTTTTAGGAGAATTTCCATCATTATTTAGTGTAACTGGTATAACAGCAGACTTCTTTGAAATAGATACAGTCTTTTTCTTCTGAACTTTAAGTGGAGTTTCTGGAGTTTTATACTCAAAATGATCATTTATAATTTCATTGTTATTTCCATATGAAACAAATAACTCTTGCATATCATTCATTTTAATTTCTTTAATTTCATTTGGTTTAAGTTGGAATTCTGTGAAATTTTCGAAGTTTTCTGAAAATGAAATTCGACATTTTTGAATTATCTCTGAAATATTCGTTATTAATGCAGATCCAGGGATATTTGAAGCATTTTCTATCGAAATGGCCGGCTTAAATGATTTGCCTTTCAATAATAAGAAAAAGTCTTCAAATTCTACTAATTCTGCATGAGATCCTTCTTCAGTACTACAATATTTAAGTATTACATCTACCTTAGCATCATCATCCATTGTTATCTCTGTTGAGTTTAAATTTTCATCAAAATTAATTGAAAATGGAGGCTGGACTTCTGTAAGTTGGAGAGAATTTGTAAGTTTAATTTTCTTTGTGACTGTTTTATTAATAATGGAATTTCCGAAATCGATTGTTATTGTATTTCTTATTCTCCCAACAAATAATTCAAGATCATATGAATCTCCTGATTCAGCACATTGAATATTAAGTGAATGAGATAATATAGATTCTGACCTCGGATTAAACATTAACGTAACATCTGTAGATTCTCGAGGTTTTAGTTCAATCACCGAATTACTTAACGAAAAAGATTGGGAACTTGGGGTTATAACGACATGTAGAGTATCTATAATCGATTTATTTATAAGTGTAAATGTATAATCTGTTGAAATATCATTAAATTCGTATGATTGAATATCTTCAATTGGAATTATTAACGGTGATTGGTAACATTTCGCTTGTATTGTAACTATACATGGAGAATTATTGTCAGAAGTGACTTTCATTACTGTTTTGAATTTGCCTGGTTGGTTGGATTTAAATATAACGACGCAAGATCTTACCTCTCCAGGTTGAATTACATACTGAGATAAAGATGTTGAAAAGTTTTGATCACCATTAAATTCAATATTGACTACTTGTGGTTCATGATAAGGATTTGCAATTAAAATGGTAAAATTCGAAGGTATATTCAAATACGTTGGATGAAAATCAACAGTAGTAGGAAAAACAGATATCTGTCGTGTGAAATTATCAGGATAATTACTCAAGAACTCGGTAAAATCGCTGACAATATCCATTTTTATTAGAAAACAGAATTCTGTATTTTTTTAGTAAAACTCTGTCTAAGAAAAAAGGAGACTATAACGAGCGTTATATTTAAAAATCATTCCATGAAATGAAGATTTGCATCACATCTCATTTCTTGGCAAAATCACTAATTTTCTTATTTGATTCAATATCAAGGAGTCTAAAATTATTTATTTCATTAATAAAAAGGTCTAAGATTTTTATAGTGAGGTATTCTAAATTTTTCCTATCATTTTCCTAATGGCGGCTCAAGATCAGTATAATATGACTGAACTTCTAACCAAAGGCATTGAAATACAAGATGCAATATATGATGTTTCAGGGGCTACTTTAGAAAGTTGCATCAATTTTATTAAATCAATTGACCAAAAATACAATGATGATATTATAAGAACAATATATCATGCTGCTAAAGTTCGACCAAATAAGTTTCGATTACTTGAACAATTAATATCTATTTACCCAGATTATCCAATTAATTATAATAGATTTGGACTCTATCTTCTTAAGAAGAAGAACATGAACACGTTTGGATCTAGAACTATGACACGTACACTTTTCAGGAGAGAATGTTATGCAGATTTAGATAAAACAGCGGATCAAATTGCAGATATTTTCGAGGAAGGCAGTGTTCCCTATGCATTGATCAATGATGACCATGAATTTTTCATCCAGGAATCATCAGATTTCTCCCTCTCATCTCAGGCATATGATTATGATTTGAAATCTTATAATTTGATTTCATTAGCTGCAATGTTTGGCGCTGAAAATTGTTTTACTTTCTTAGTACTAAATGGAGTCACAGTAGACACGTCTTGCATATCATATATTATCCAAGGCGGTAATCTGAATTTGGTGGAAAGATACGTCACAGATTTCAGTAATTTCTCAGAAGATTATGTTAGAATAGCAATAGAATATCATCAAAATTCTATTGCTAAATGGATTCTCGAAAATAAACCAGAAATTAGCGTCTCTCTTGGATTTTGTGTTAAAGAAAGAAACATCGAAATGTTTTATCATTTCTTATCTGAAGGTGGAGATATTCATGAGAGAGATCATATTGATGGAACAATATTTACAAGATCTTCATTTTATGGAATTTATTCTATTGTGGAATTTCTACTAAAAAATAATGCAGATATAGAAGAGAAAAATGATTTCCAGCATACAGCTGTATTTCAAGCTGCAATCCAAGATAATTTAGATATATTTATGCTTTTAATTCAACATGGAGCTAACTACGAAGGAACAGATAGTGAAGGCAAAACTCCAGTAAAAGTTGCAATTGAGAAAGGTTCAACCAAAGTTGTTAAATATTTGATGCAATTAAAGGCATCTCAATAATCTCTCAGTGAACAAACACTATTCCATTGTAAGCCTTTCTAGCGATGCCACAATTTATTATTAATAATCTTAATTCTTGATGAAATTTTTTTATATCAATAAATACATTCAACATATAACAACGTTTAAATGCGATAGTTTATATAATTCATAGGTCATTTAACTAACTTCAATAAGACAAATAAATTTTTTTCTTATTACTTGATTAAAGCTTTACAACTAGAAATAATAATAAAGCTACTCATAGACAAGCAGAATATCAGAGTCATGAATTATACTTTTCGAAAGGAATAAATTTTATTGGTCAGACCATGTTTAATCATGTGAGAAATGAAATATTCTGTATTCATTCATGAATTTAAATATAAATCCTTCTATATCATTGCTCTAATTTCGAGTTTCCTTTGAATACTGAACTGGGATTTTGTCGTACTCACAAAATTCTAAGATAAAACGAATTTGAGAGCTATTTTGTTTGGATGTTTCATTCAATTTTTTTTATTGATCTCCCAAATACGTAGATTCATATTCTGAATATTAAAACTTCATTTTGAATTTTTTTTAAGGGTATAGTAAACTCAAAATTCTAGAGTTTTGAGAGTGCCAATAAACTCTATAGGCCTATATATATCTATATTTTAAAGGAGAGGTTACGCCATAATATTTGATATTATAAATTATTAATTCAAAATAAAAGTAGAAAATGAAACTAATTTTATTCTAACCTATATAAATATATCAATAATCTAAAATGATTATAGTCTGAACTATATTTTACCAGATTATCAAATATAAGAGAAATGAAATAAGGCATAAAAATATCATAGCATAATTATTGGATAAATGCATTAATAAATTATTTATATCATAATGAGAAAAAATCAAAATAAGAAAATGAGCATAATAATAATTTAATTAAAAACAAAAACAATAAATAAAATGTAATTTTCGTTAATCAAAGTCATCAATGTCTTCGTCTTCTGATTCCCATTCGGACTTGAAAACTTGATAATCTCCTCCTGGTACACTCTGAATGGATTTTTTGTATTTGTTCTGTTTTTTAGAACCTTTTGTAACAGTTTTTTGTTTCAATATCATTTTGGAGTAACAATTCTCTTCAAATGATTTGACACAATCTTCTGGAAGTGGGGAAGATGTAATGCTTTTTGTATATCTCCGAGAAAATGCTCTGGATCATTCCATTCTAAGATTGCAACGTTAACTCTAATGTTAATGTTCTTCCAGGCTCTTGATTTGTCCAAATAGCATGCAATTTTGGAGTTAAACGCTTCATTCATGCAGGTAGATCCAATGGAAGAAACTTTGGAAACTATGGGTGTCCATTTGTGAACCCAGTCATAGAGCATGAATTGAAGTTGGATCGAATTGACACCTTTTTGCCATTCAAAGCATTTGTAATTGTGCGGTTCGCAAAAAGAATGATTGCCTACGTAATGGTAGACACAATTCTCCCACATTTTCGTACGTTTGTCAATATTTTCTTCGGCAAAACATGACCAAAGCCACATACTTAGGCTTGCATTCAGACCCCAGAAAGGTCTCTCTATTTTTTCAATCTTCTGAGTCTTGTCGTTGAAAACTTCAACTGTCTTATGAGAAGCTGAGAACTTTGTAAAATCTTTTGAGATATTTTTTGATACATGACCTGGATCGAATCTTTCAAGATGAGAGACGCCAAATTCTTTAAAGACAGAGACACTTTTGTTATCTCGGTCTTTAATAATCTCTTTAACATCTTTCAAGATATTGTATTTCTTTAATTGCTTCAAGATGATTCGAGTTCCAGCACTTTCCATATTGTTGGAAGCTCCGGAATACTGAGCATGCTGTCTGTTTCCACCAATATGGTTGATGTTCACGCATGCAAGAACTCTTTTTGTGACAGCATCGAGCGCAGTTACTGTACAACTTGGCGAGTTTCGCCTGTGCGTCCATCTTGCATCAATGGATAAGTAACCACTGAAGGACTTTCTCGACAGCATTAGGGAAATACTTTTAAGTCTTCTAATCTTATCGTCACAAAATCTCTGTTGTCTCATGACACCACTCTTCACAGGGGGCTTAGTTCCACAAAGAGAAAGAAAGCGAGCACCTTTTGTATATGGCATTCCGGTCATTATGCAAGCACCAAGCATCTGTCGCGCTGAGAGTCGACGACGTTCGTGGAGTAAAATGTTATGCATTGCCTTTGTTTTCCGTTTTGGGTGAACAATATGGCCCATACAACAACAAAAAAATGAAATCCCGCCAAAAGTGAAAATTGAATAAAAAGTAATAATTAAGGGTGCCCTATAACGATAATGTAAACAGCACAAAATTAACCTTATTAGAACTCGAATGAATGGATTATCCAGATTCTAGTTCTCAATATAATAGCCTTAAAAGTGCTTTTCTGAGGGTGGTCTATCGTCTATAGGGCACCCTTAATAAATATATACTATATCATTAGATGAATATTTTGGAATAACATTTTTAAATCGAGGTTTTTCAATGGATAACGGTTCAATCAAAAATTTGACCCCATTTTAGAATCTACATTCAAAATGGAACATTTCTGTCGTTTCAAAATTCCAAAATAACGTTTCTATTCCTCTTAAAAGTAAAAATAAACTTTATTGGGGAAAAATATTTTTATTTTCCAAAAAAAATGAAAAGCTTAAATGCAAATCTAATTTTGATGCTTTTGTTTGTGATTTTTTGGATTTCGAAAAAAATTTGAAAATTCAGACAAGTTACCATTAACACTAATACGTTTCAGCGAGTCGGTCCCATCAGAGAAATTTTCATAAATCGGCGATAAAATTTATTATTTCAGCAAAATATTCTCAGATCCAACTAGAATAAGGTCAAATTATACAAATTTAGCAAAGTCTAGTTATCCTACCTATTCAATTAACTTTAATTTTAAATAATTCAAGACAATTCTCAAAATTACCTTAATAATCGCGTTCTCTTCGCAAAATGACGATTCATCATTCACTACCAGCATAACTGAGGGCTTGTGCTCACAGAATAATACAGATAATTTACTTATTAATGCAAAATTTAGTACCAAAAGGTAATCATAGAAGATACAAAAAAAGTTTCTTTATTTTGATTGCTGATTTTATTTCTTCTAAAATTTACCAAATCTAAAAAATCCAAAATTGAATGCTATTGAATTTCATGTTTATGTAACATATACTATTTATTATATAAGGAATAAAAATTTTATAGTTTTAATCAAAAATAAAGGTGTACTAAATGCATACAAAACAAGGTATTTTTTACTCATCCAAAATATGTTAACAGTGCTATTTATATAATCAATATCCGAATTTCGAAATCATTTTGATGAAATCTTTATTTTAAAATTGAGTTGACTGTTAAAATCACCCGAGAAGAGGGATTATCTCAATGAAAAGTACATAAAATAGCAAACGCACAAGATGGCACTATGCAGCTTTATATTGTTATACAGGATGAACATATAAAATGTTTGGAAAACACTTACTTCGTTCTACAAATGTGTATCTCTTTATATCAAAGATTCTTCTCAAATTATTGAGAGACTTCTCTCAAAAAAAGGGAAATTTGATAACTAAAAAAAATTATGGCATAACCTCTCGTTTTGCATAGATATATATTTACATGGTCACAGAGCTTATTTTCATTGTCAAAACTTAAAAATTTTTAGTGGACTATACCCTTAATTTCCTCGATCGATGGAGCTTTCATCTCTTCCAATTCCATCGACATTTGAGGAAATACGTTCTACATACAGATTATATCGAGACACAATGTATTCTATATGGAGAACCCTGAAATACGATCCTCTTATGCATATTACAGATAATTTTTATTCCAAGATGACTTCTCTAAAAACAATATCAGATTCAAAAGCATTAATACGCTTTGCAATAGGTGTTGGCGTCATCGGAAAGATCAATTTAATAATTTTACCCAAATTATTAGAGGATTTGATTTCAAAATTTCCATACCAGGACTATTTAGCAGGTGAATTTGTCTCCTACATATTGGCAAAGTTCTGCTTACCGAAATATCAGAAAAATACAGTCTATTTAAACAAATTATTGCATATGTGTCATGAAACCATTACAAATAAATCATTTCGGCCAAAGATACGCAATACAATAGTATTACTAGGATGGATTGGAAAGAAGTATCCATCCATGGAACACACCTCTGCACAGCAATTTATCGATACTTTAGTGACAGCAATAACAAAGCATCATAATGACGCTTCAATTGCGTGCTATAGTTTTCTTAGAGAGTTTTTGCACTTTTCTCATAAAGGAAATCTTTTGGCAGAGAAAAAAGATTCAATAAAACGAGTCTTGACAACAGCGAAATCATCTGACAAGCAAAATTCTGCGTTACTTATACTTACTCTATTAGCAAACGAGTGCCCAGAAAGCGTTGCTTCAAACGCTTCAGATTTAATGGAAAATGCAGCAAAATTTATCAGCGGAAAGGATTCAGTTTTACAGACATCTGGACTTAGATTACTAATCGCTTTATCTCCTCTTGATCCTCTTTTGTATCGAACAAAATATTCTTCAATGGTCTCAAAATTACTATTCAAAACAGGAAAACTAGCATTAACTGTCCTTAGTGTTCCTGTTTTTACCCATTTCCCTGATACTTTGTCATTAGTTTCTTCTAATATTGTATCAGCCGTTTCATCTCTCTTTTCTTCAGACGATTCCTTATATCATGAAGCCGGATTTCGCATATTAATAGAGTTTTCCAAGTCAATGCCATTAGCATTCGGTGAATATTCGAATCAAATTGCAAAAACAATCTGTGAAGCTCCAATTTGCATCGAATACGCAAACAACTGCAAAGAACTATTCCAGAAATCAAACAAACTATGGAATGACGTTCAAGATTCACTTGTTAAAAAGATATGTAATTTAATTAACACAAAACCATTCATTTGTGCCAAAATCATACTCAATTGCGGTGATTTACGAAAGATGAATTACGAATTACTCAGAGCACCGTTCAAAAAGCTTTACGAAACGACAACGAATCATAATGTAAAAATTTTGATACCAAAAATACTAATTAAGCTTACTCCTGACAGGCATGGTCCATTCTTTAGTGATATGGCCGTATATCTTTTGAAATCATGCTGTAATGAGTCTTCTAGAGAAATCAGATTAAGTATTATACAGGCGTTTACTATGCCAGACCTAGAAGTATTAGCTTTACCTCATAACTTATGGTATTTCGATGTTCTTTCTAACGACGATGATCCTAAAGTTTCATCTGCAGTTATTTCTTTGTTAATTCAGATCTCCGAGTACAATCCCATGATGATATACCCATTATTTAGAAAGGTTATCATGGATTCCCTATTTTCCTTTAGTTATTCCAACTCCTTGATCAATCAAGCTCAATCTACAATTGGCAGATCACAAATTTTGAGAAATTGTCAACAGTTATTGACAATTTATGCTCCATGTATATTGCCATTTGTCTTAGATTTCCTTAAAACACGTATTGTCCCTCACGAAGAGAAGTTATTAGATTCGAGATTATCAAAACTGACATATTTCGAAATAGAGTCATTAAACATCATTGCAGAGCATTCCATTGATGTTATTGGCATTATTTGCTCATTCGATTCAGAGCAACTCAAGCAAAACCATTCCGAAATCATGCCACTTTTTATTCGAATTCTTTTAACTTACAACGAAGAAGGAGTCGAACTAAGTGTTTTAAAAGCATTGATACTGTTAATAGACACTGTTGGAATATCATTCATTGATGACATGAAATCGTTAATCAATGCTTTATATGAATTCGGTTCAAAAACAGAATCGAAAATATTGAGAGCATTTCTTTTTAAATTGCTTGGAAAATTAGGTCCGCATATTCCTAATTCAGAAACATTGGATATCAAAGACAACGACATATTAGGAAATATCAGTCTCATAGGTGGAGCAATAACATATCATGACTGGTATTTACAAGTTGTTTCCACTGCTCTTTTGGAATTATTAGATGATGAAACTCATCAAAGTGTTCATTTCAAAGCTGCTGAATTAATGAGTGTTTCTTTGAATTCGACATCAAACATTATCAGACCAATCTTTGAGAGATACGTACAGAGAATACTAAAAGATGTTTATACAGTACCTAAAGATGAAGCACCAAGGTATTTCTCGTTAATAACTGTTGTCGTTTCTCAACATGCTGATTGGATAAAACCTTTTGCAACACAGTTCAGTAAATTAATGGAAGATATGCATGAAACAACGTTTTTGGACTCTGTTTTACCTTTGGTTCCTCCAATTGTGAAATGTTTCGATGAAACATTCGCTCCTTTCTTGATAAAACACATTCCTAATTTGTTGGATATTATACAAAACCAATGTATAGAAAATCCAGAAAGAGCAATTTTGGCAATACAAGGTTTGACTCCGATGATTAAATTTGTTTATGATTTCAACAACGTAATTATAAATTCTTTGATAAATTTGTTGTTGAATGCATCTATCCCTTGCTCAGTTATCAAGTGCTGTTTGAACTCTTTGGCACAAATGAGTGTTCAAATCAATATCAACCCTTATTTGTCTTCGATCTTCAAAGTCTTTTGTTACCTCGCAATGTCAAATTCATATGAAAACATAAAAATTGACTTGTTTGTGTTGATTAACACGATTATTGAGGAAACAGATGACAAGAAGACATCATTTAGCACTTCTATAGATAACTTCTGCAGACAACATAATATTGCTCATGAAGCAACATCAGTTGCAATTGATGATAGTGAAAATGACTCTTTGGAATTGTTTTCTCCGTCAATTTCGATTTCTTTGGATGAAAACGCAATTATTTCAAAAATTAGATCAGATAACAATGTATCTGTATCTCAATGGAAGGATTGGTGTACTAATTTCATCTCTTCTTTCATTACAAACAGTCCTTCCCATGTAATTAATAGTTGCAGCTGGATTTCAACAAGTGATCCGAAATTTCCAAGTAAAATCTTTCATGCAGCATTTCTGAGTTGTTGGAATCAAATGAGTTATGATACAAAAGTTGTTGTATCAGGCTGTATTCGTAAATCTTTCTTAGTTGAATCGGGTGCACCTATAACTGTTGTTTTAACAATGGTTGGTTTGTGCGAATTCATGGAAAGAATCGAACAACATTTGTTAATTCCGTATTTGGAAATTGCTGCTGCCGCAAAAAGGTCTGAGAAACTCGCGTTCGCTTTGTACTGTGCATGTAAGGAAATACAGAATGACGCAAGGTCAAACAAAGCCTTCGAAACATGCATTGACATTTTCAGCCGTTTGTCGATGGAAGATGATTTGAAAGGTTTGATAAAATCAAATCTAAAAGTGTCGGAAATGACATTGCTTATGGCGGAACATCTTAGAGATTGGAACAAAGTTGTCGAACTAGTTAAGAATGATAACCAAAACGTACCAACTTTGTTAAGAGCTTATACGAATTTGATGAGATTCAATGAAGTAACAAAATCTTTTGGTTCTTTCGAAATTTTACAAGGTGTCGTCAAAACACAGACAAGTTTGAGTTTTGCAAAGGCTTTCTTCGCACAACAGAACTGGAGGAACTTCGAGAAAGCTATGCAGTTCGCTCCAAAAGAATCAATTGATTCAGTTATAACTTCAATGATGGGTTTGGCAAAAATGGGCAAAAATGTGACAGATTTAGAAGAAAAAGGATTTTATTTGTTGGCAAGCGCTGCAGGTCCATTGATTCCACATGGATTTGTTGCAGTTACTTCTTCAATTATTGCTGCACAAGAGTTATGCGAAATTTCTGAATTTTCACGTGGAAAATCGAAATTTTGGAAAGAAAGGAAAATTGATGAAAAACTTCCATTTGAAATAACTCGACCTGTTTATGAGAATAGAATCAATCTTTTAGAAGGCGAAGAAAAGGTAAATGAGCTCCTAAAATTCATGAAAAACGCGAGACATTCAAATGATTGGGATTTGCATGAAATATTTTTAAACAGATATTTCCCAAACATTGATCCAGAAAAAGACAATCCAAGAATCATTTTAGAGCACATTTATTCGCAAATGAATAGAATGCACATCAAGAACTACAAGCTCCTCGATGATTTGATCAATAGATTGCCAGCAGGACCATTAAAATTCAAGATCATGTACAAGAAAGCATCATTTATCAGTAGAATGTCAAATACTGATGATATTCAACAACATTTAATGGAAGTTGTTGATATCTGTGGTTCTGTTGATTCCTCTAAAGCACAATATCTTTGTGCATGGGCTCACATTCGCTTGTATAACATGAAAGAAGGAGATCGTGCATTGCATGCCATTTCTGCCATCAAAAGTTTTGTTAAATGTATTTCTTTGGAAGGAAAAAGTCGATTGCCAGAAGTCCATCAGTTATCATCTATTTTGTTTAGATCTGGTAAATTCCCACAAGTCTTCAAGTCCGTTAAAATGGATATAGAAAGTTTAAGTATCGATCAATGGATCACAGTCACACCACAAATCTTTGCACAAATGGATCATGGCATTCCAGAAATCCGAAAATTTGTTTTGGAAACAATTTCACGAATGCTAATGAAACATCATCATTCCACATTATTTAGTCTTTTGTATGCAGTTACAAATGACAACAACACAGCGATTGCAGGCGAATTACTTAAAAAATTCGAAGAAGACCATTTCGGAATTGTCCAAGGTGCAAAAACATTCCACAAAGGATTAATCAGAGCATGCACAACGAAAGTCGAGTTGTGGGCAGATGCAATGAGTGCGATGACCGTTCCTTTGAAGACTAACAACATGAGACAAATGAGAGCGATATTAAATCCATTGATTGATGATTTGAGTTATCCACAAACAGATGATGACCGTGCATTTGCTAAAGATTATGGTCAAATTGTTAAATCATTAGCCATCGAATTCAAGACATTTATGAAGAATCCTAATAAAGAATCACTTGAAAAGATGTGGAAGATCTGTCGAGATTTATACAACCAACTTAAAAACGACATCGAAAACACAGCATTCATCGATGTCCCAAGTTTATCACCAGATCTCGCGAGTGTTCAAGATATCGACATTGCAGTTCCAGGCACATATTTCATTGGTCAACCAGTTATCACTATCAGTTTAGTTGGTCGATCAATGGAAGTTTTGAGATCTAAACAACATCCGAAACGATTGTGTGTTAAAGGCTCTAATGGTTTGGAATACTGGTTCTTACTTAAAGGACACGAAGATTTGCGACTTGATCAGCGCGCTATGCAAATCTTCGATCTTATTAATGCTCTTTTCGGCGGCCAAGTTCAACACATTGTCACATATCATGTCATGCCTATTTCTCTTGGTGCAGGTTTGATTTCATGGATTAACGGAAGCGATACAATTGCAAAAGTTGTTCGAGATTACAGGACAAACAGAGGAATTCCAGTTGACGAAGAATCTCGCTTAGTTTCAGAAGAAACAATTCCACAGATTGATAGTTTGCTTCCTATCCAACGTTATGAAGCATTAGTTGATGTCGCTAACAAGACATCAGACACTGTATTAAGTGATGCTATTTGGTTTAACTCTACAACGAGTGAGAAATGGCTTCAAAAGACAAAAACATTTTGTCAAACGGCAGCTGTTATGTCAATTGCAGGATACATGTTAGGATTAGGTGACAGACATCCTTCTAACATCATGATCTCGCAATTGACAGGAACAGTTGTTCACATTGATTTAGGCGATTGTTTCGAAGTTGCTAAAACGCGTGTCATGTTTCCAGAATTGATTCCATTTCGATTGACACGATTCATGGTTCGTGCGTTAGGTCCGTGTGGTGTTGATGGTGCATTTAAGACAGCGTCTAAAGCAGTCATCAAGACTATTCGAGGACGAAGAGAGAGTATCATGGCAATCTTAGAAATCTTCGTTCATTCCCCTCTTTCATCCGAGTTTTCCAAAATCAAGAGAGAAGAACCATCCATCTCTGTTTTCCTGGATGATGTCGAAGCAATTGCCGAGAAACGCAGTGAAGAAGAATCCAGTTCATTGCGCACAGTCCGAAGAATTGCAGACAAACTCGGTGGTCTTGATTTCGGTTCAGAAAAACTTTCATGCGAGATGCAAGTCGACAAACTTATTGAAGAAGCTACAGACTATTATAATTTCGCACATTTATACCGAGGATGGAATCCACTTTGGTAATTTATATTTATTTTTATATATACATATATTTTGTTATCTATATTTTATATATTTTGTTTGTAAAATTATATATTTATTTTGTTTGTAAAAATTGAGAATGTTTAGAACATTAATCGCGTCATCAGTTGTATTTGTTATAACATTACATTTGTGAACATGTTGATAAAGTTTATCAGTTCGATATCTTGATAAACCTTGTTTTAATAGTTTGCTGAAGTATTCCGGATTAAGAGTTGCTTTCTGCAGAACACTATGAACAATATCTTCATCAAATACATCAAAGAATATACCTTCATCAATGTATGATTGAATATTGTCAACAATGTAATCAATATTCTGAATTAGTTCATTTTACATTTATTGATTAATATAGACTCAAATAAAATTTATAAAAATTTCACAAAACAATGGTTTTATTGAAAAATGTTGTAATTACAAGAATATAATATAATATTTAACTTTATGCAAACAAATATTGAACCATCTCTCCATCCATGAAACGATATTGTAAACTTCAGAAAAATAAAAATGAGTGGTCTTCATCTTAACATCGATTACATTGCTAATAACATTCAGCAGTACATTGATGATGAGAACTTTTTTGATATGCTTGATGAGGATATTATTTTTCAAGTTTTAGAGAAAACAACACTTGATCCACAAAACTTCAAAGCACTTCTTTCACAAGGACAGTCGAAATTGAGCTCTTCTAATTTATATAATTGTGCCCACAAGTGTAATGTTATTGTAAATACTTTTGAAGACGCAATCAACGTTCTTAAATGCTACAAAAATATTTTCAACCTTGAATCATCACATGGATTAATCAAGTTTTTAAAGAAATATAATGCAGAACATGTATCTCAATTAGATGAAATTCAAAATCTTAAAAATAAAGTTGAAATTCTTGAAAAAGATAAAACATCACTTAATAATAAAAATGATCAATTGATTGAATCAATAAGTTATTTTGCAAAACTCTCTCAATTAAAAGACGTAAATGATTTTAATAAAGTTTATAACTACCTTAAAGAACTTTCAGAAAAAGGAGACGAAATTAAAATGTTTCATTCATGTTCTATTGGATTGAGTGAAGTAAAGAATTCATATGATGGCACTCCATTAATTGATGCTTGCATTAATGGAGACCTTAAGTTAGCAAAATCTCTTATCGAAGGAGGTTGTAATCGAAATGCAATCAACAAATATAGCAATAATTGCTTACTTGAGGCTTCAGCAAAAGGTCAACTTGAAGTTGTCAAATATTTAATTGATAATGGATTTGACAAGGATTGGAGAAAGAAAACTAATGGATTTAATGCAATTCTTATGGCATCACAATTTGGTAAACTTGAAACAGTTAAATATTTGCAAAGTATTGGTTGTGATGTAAATTCTAAATCAAATCTTAACGCAAATTGTATTTACTTTGCGTCATTAAAGGGTCATCTTGAAACAGTTAAATATCTTGTTTCAGTTGGAGGAAATCCAAAAGAAAAGGCTAATAATGGATTTTCTCCATTAATAGTTGCAGCACAAGAAGGTTATCTTGAAGTTGTTAAATATCTCATTCAAATTGGATGTGATAAAAACGACAAAACAAATTATAATGATACTTCACTTCATTGGGCAACAATTAAAGGTCAATTTGAAGTTGTTCAATATTTGGTTTCAATTGGTGTGAATCTAAATCATCAAAACAATTTTGGAAAAACTGCTCTTAGTTATGCTATTGAAAAACAAAACGAAAATGATAACTATAAGAAGATTTTAGATCTTCTTTCAAGATCTGGTGCAATCTAAACTAATACTTCATAAATGAAACTTCTTATGTCATTATATTTATTTATTATTTCAAAAATATATAAATGTTTTAAATTGCAAATATATTTCAAAAATTAAATGATTGAAAGAATAGATTTAGTGAATATTTTCACTACATCATAATTGGAAATGTGAAGGCCATGGGGTTCATCAATCAACCTAATTCGTTTATTTTCCCTTATCATAAAGATATTTCAAAAATAAAGTAGTTTTAATATGCAAATAAACAGTAAAATATTTAACAGTTGAAAAACAATAAAAAATATATATAAATCAAATTAACAAATTTGACTATATAAGAATTTGCAGATCATATTTCTAGTTTGTGTTGTTAAGTAATCCTCTCTAACACTACCTTTGATTTCGTTCAATACTTCATAAACTTTCTCAGGAATCTTTGTCAAAATTTCGAAATCAACTTTCTTCACTTCTTTGTAGTCATCTGGACCACAATTTGTCTTCACACGAGGCAATCTCGATTTTTCGAAGAAAGAGTTCTTTGTTCCCAAGCAGTTATGAACAATTCTGCTGTATTTCTCAATGAACTGCTGTTTGATCTGTTCTACTGTAACCTGGAGCTCCGACCTCTTTGTTATTGGCATCTTGACCCATAACGCTTTAATATTCTCTTCCGGCCATAATGAGAACTGCATTTCGTCCGAAACGGTCTGTAAAAGGACTTCTATTGTCTGTTCTGCACTTGTTGGACGTTGTTCATCCCATACGAGGTTCTGAAGCCCGTTATTTATCATCTTTCCGAGAATTTCAATTCCATCATCCCCAAAACGTTGACCAGTGACATCCAAACTGACCAGGGAGTCATGACAAAGCAAGGCCTCGAGGATAGGAATGAAATCGTCTTGAAACGCCGTCTTATCGTATCCCCTCATCACAAATCTATGGATATGGACACCATCGAGGTAGTTTTTGATCAGTTCGGCTGATTTCGGTGAAGCCATGATCACGTGAGAAATGGAAAGATCAATGACATTTTTCATTCTGCTTAAAAAGTGGATAAAACCACTTATTACACTGTCATCCTTGATGGCATTCATTTCCCAGGACAGCCTTCTGATCGATGGGCACTCAATGCTGAAATTCTGGTAAAATTGATTGAAATTTTGCTCGGACATGTGGACGTGGTCGGCCGTGAGGGTTGCGAGAGGGATGCTGGCCTGGTTTACGGACTGGAACAGTGAAAACAAGGAGTCTGGAGTCAGCCAAGTGTCACTTATGTTAATTTCGGTTAATCTCGAATAACAAATCAATCCTGTTGGCATTCTTGACTTGAAATTGCATCTGGAGACATCAAGAGCTTTAACTGGGTTCTTGTGTGTAACAAATTCCGAAATAATTGTTTTTGCATCTAAATTAGCGGAACTGATCCTTATATGCTTGAAACAAGATGGGAAATTGCTTTGGTTGGGGTCAAGTAACTCTCCGACAAGCTCTTGAGCAATAGGAGGGAATAAATCTCCGGAAATATTAAATTCTTGGAGTAACTTGAAACAAGGAGACTGGAACAAGCAGACAAATAATGCTCTGATGGTTTCTGCTGAAAATGTGCAGTCTTTAACGGTAATCGAAGTAATTTGGCACTTAAATGTGGAAAATGCAAGCAAAAAGTTCGTAAATCTGTTTGTACTAAGATCACATTGTATGAAGTTGATGGCTGTGATAGGAGAAGCAACTTTCGTCTTGAAAAATCGAACTAATTCGGATGAATCTCCAACAAAGAGAATTCCATGGAAAGTAATGGATTTTATGTGGTTATTTAATGATATTACTTCACGTAAATGGTCTACAAATTCGTGGAAATTGACAGAAGAAAAGACAATGTCCGTAATATCAGTATCTAAGCAAACAGCGTTGATAATAGGATCTATGCATGGACTAGAAACCATTTCGGATGTAAATTTGAATGTATCCTTTACGTCAAGAAGATATGGAATTTTATTAAGAATTATCTGCGGATCTACGTTATCTGCGAACTGCAAAGCAAGAGAAAGATATCTTTCGCACAATGGGGTGCGAGTTTCGAAGATATAATTGTCATCATTGATTGCATCTTTCACATCATCAGGAATATCATATGCCATTGGACGAAACAAGCTGCTCTGTATACATAACATCATGCTTATTATTTTTTCGTTAGCATTAGATGAGAATTCCGCTTTCTTGTTTGTAGATGTAATGATTATTTTTCCTTCTTTATATTTTAAGGAATGCATTTCAGAAAATGAAATGATTTGTATAAGCTTATATCCTCCGAGTAACCCTTTTTCAAAGAAAAACAAGCCTGGTGAAGCTAAAACTAATAATCTCTGGAGAACGGAATTTCCTTTCTCCACCTTTTGGACCATGCCGTTCCAGCATATCTGAACAATAGTTTGCTTGAAAAATGGATGCAGTGGCTCCAATTGGTCATGCGGGAGCATTTTTCAATATTTATTAGCTCAAGATTATCAGCAACGATAATACACCACTTCAATTTGTATTTTTTGTAAAAATGTTTTTGAGAATATTTGGAACATATTTGTAATTTATGCCAGAAAGTTTTTTTGAGAGGTGAAAAAACAAAAACTTTTCTGAATTATTTTGATTTCCGCAGTTTTGAGAGGTAGGGCAACGATAGGTCAAAAAGGCTTCTCTGATAGATTTCCTTGCCTTTTGGATATGCTATAATATATAGCCTAGCATGATAGGATATGATGTCAAAAGTTAGAACATAACTTAGGATCTTGAGAAAAATGAAAAACAAAAATTACATAAAAAAAGAAAAATTTTATCTAATTTGTTTTTTTGGACCGAATAAGTAATTTTATTGAATTTCAATACGACACATAGATTTTATTATTAGTAATAAATATAATGGTTTACTATTAACAAGGAACCTAAACTAATGAAAATTTGATTTCAAATATTGTATATGATTATCATAGATTACCAAAATATATTGCTATTTATGAGGATATAATATTGATTATTAGTAAATCGTATAAATTTAATAAATATACCATGAATATTGAATGAATTTCTTGATTCATAGGGGTAAAACGCGTTTTTATATGATTTAGACAGAGAATTTATGAGATGTAAATAACACAATAAAGGTTTATATCGAATATTTTCTAAAAATAAATCGAAATTATAAAAAACAATACATTTATTCATTGAAACTACTTGGACAAATATGAAACAAGCATTCAGGCAATACTTTTGAGACTTCAACGCATCTGATAATTTTTATATAACTTCACCTCTTATGCTTAGAGTGGAGGTATTGAGATCGTATAAGTATAGATGAGCTCACATTCAGATATGATGTGTGAACTTCTGTTTTCACTGCAATTTTGAATCAGAATAAACTCAAAAAAGAATAAAATGATATACTCACACTCTAAATGTGTTCGAGATTTAAAGTTGTATGAATAAAACGATTCATCTTTCGAAGCCTCCCATTTAATGAGAGACTTCGAAAGATGAATGTATTCATGTAGATGAAATACTATATATGATCATGTGTGATACTAAAGATATCAAAATGTTCATTTTTAAGTGCAATAGAAGGGTTATCTCTCGTAAAATCTCAATTTAAGGAAGATTTAGAAAGAACTCCTTTCCTAAGTAGATAGTGTGTGGTTTCTGTCTTTTGGTTGATCAGGAACTATGAAATTAAGTCGGACAGAAAGAAGTTCTTTCCAAAACAGACTCCAAATGAGTTGTTCGAAAAGAACTTCCTTCTGTATATGGATAATTGTAGTTACCGCACTGAAGTATGTGATTGTGATGATGGAGTTCTCGATAAATCTAAAATCGGATTAAGATTAATTGAAAACTCAAGTAATTCTTTGAAATCTTGTGTTGTCTGGCACTATAATAACCAAAGAATGAGAATATTATGTTGAATGATGAGTACGTGTGCTCGGCATTCGCCGAGCGAATTGAGTTTAACGTACTATGAAAAGTGACAAATTTGGGCTTTTTTTCCTAGGGTTATGATCTCTTCCTTTCTGCTCAATACGACAGAAATGAAAGAATGAATTTGTACTCCCTAATTGATTACTACAATCTGTATCTATCTTTAACATAGAATTAGCTGCATTGTGATTTATACTCCAGAATTATTCAATTTAAGATCAACCTCGTAAATTTTAATCATATTGCACCAATACTCCTACGTTGAGATAAGAACATGATTATACATACCAAAGCCCCATATTAAAAATCAAAATTTAGCACCTCCATTATGCAACCACATTATTCGTCGCAAATAAGTATATTTACGCATATTATGATGCATATTCACACAACTCGTATACATGAAAAGTTATTAAAATCAGACAAAATTATTGCAATAAGGAAAAAAAAACAACTTTATTATATATGTTAGTAATGAATTACAAATATTTCTACAAAGAATGCTCAATACTTCATATAATCTTCGAATATTTCTTATTACAAGTTAATACATTTTGACTCGAACATGATAAACAAAAGCTGACACGCTGATTACTACATTTATGAAAATATAGTACGTTTCCATTCATCTGTTTACTTGTTTTTGTTGGAATAAAATCATTTTTTTTTTCTTTCATGAAATAAGAATTTTGCTGCGAAAGCAATATCTCTAACAATAATTAATACATTACGTCAACTCTGGAATGAGTATTTATCAAATATGATATCAAAATCAAAAATTAGTTGTTTTTTATGAGTAAAAACGATGTAAATTGATTATTTGACTAATTATCAAATACTTTGATTTTCCAAAATTTTTTCGAAATTGATTTTTTCATGTGAAAATTCAAATTGTTTAATTTCATTTTTGAAATTTTGAATTTTTTTTGGAATTTTGAGTTGATCAATTCAGCAGAATTGATAATGCTATTGCTTTAGGGCATACCACAAGGTGATGAATAAAAGGTGAACATTAACAAATTATTTTAAATCACAAATATCATCCTCATCAACTTTAATTCTAAAAAGAACTGTACTGAATTATGAAAATGCATGATTTACATTATTAAAATCTTTGAATGAAAATAGTACAAGATAAGTTTTTATTCATTTTTAATTAGATTTAAACAAAAAACTACTCCATATTAAAATTTAAGTCGAGAAATCGTATTTTGTTCTTATTTGTTAGCATTTTGTAGACATTCTAATCTTGAATTAATTTGTTACATGATATTATTAACAAATTTAACTGAAAAAATATGTTAATATGGAATAAACCATGATTATATAAGCTATCAATGCTATATATACATATGTAAAAGATTCATATTAACTCAATTAACAAAAATGATAGATTTTCATAAAGGTTCAATCTAGGTTCGTCCGAAAATTTTGATTTTTATATAGAAGACATAGTTTCATATACATAATTAAATTTTCAAACAAATTTGATCATACCATTTATTAAGCAGGATAGTATATTAATTACTATCAGTATAAAAATATAAAAATGATTATATTTAATTATTGCATAATTTAGTCAAAGAGTTATAAGCCTCAAGTGATCGTTATCACCTTCAATGCACGTATACTTTATTGATTCATAGATATTTAATCTATGTTTGACATGTTGTTGTCGTCATTCGTTTTGTTCCCATTCTTCCTAAGTTAGAATTAGAGAATACACCATCCACATCATCTAATTTGGTCCTCAGCGATAGATTGGTTCATTTTGGAGGAGTCCCATCAGACAGTTTTCGAGCACCAAATATCAAATTTTAATGTATACAAATCTTTAGTGATTTATCTCTTTTATGATTAGTAAAAGGTTTCTGCTCATCAACATTTGATTTCCGACATATATGATTTCTAATTGCAATTATTTACTTTCTTTTTATAATCTAACTCTGTGACTCATACCATAAATTAATTATTGGAAAGTGTCAATATGTTTGGCACAACGCATGGCGGAAGATACCAAACCATGCAGGGAATATGATACGTTTAAGATCTCCGAACTTTTTTTCCAAAAATTTTCTATCGTTGCCCTACCTCTTTTGTTACTCGCTCCAATTATATTCAAATTTCTTCCATACCCTATGGTTTGCAGCTGATTTTTTACTTTAGAACGTTATATTTTGGGCCTTTTTGTAATCATATCAACTTTTATTCGCATGCTAATGCATAACTACTTTGTGTATAATCTTCAATCATTAGCTTTTTGCATTTCTTTTATCGTTAGGTCATTTAAGTATAATTACAGAATCCTCCAATAATTTTGGTCACTGGCTGTTAATTTCGAAAAACACCACTATTAAAAGGTTATAAACTTCCAATCAAATACATTTATTGACTTGTTGCATTTGAACACTAGAGGTATTTTTATAAAATTTTATTTTAATTAAAATTAAATCTTCGGAACGAAGATTATTAAAGACAAATACTATGAAGTGAATATTAGAAAAACAAAATTGATAAACAATAAAAAAATTTTTTTTTTAATCAAAAATATACAAAAAAATTATTGAGTTACTGTATATGTAACAATTGTACCAAACTTTCCTAGACTAACCTCTCCTCTTTCCTTGATCATGAATCCACGACCATAAATCAATTCATAAACAGCACGAGTTGTATGGACAACTCCTTTTGGAGCTTTGGCCGCAATTTCTTCAGCGAATTCAACAGCTTCACCGCAGACTTCGAAGAAAGGACGACCTATATCAATAACACCAACGTAAACAGGGCCTCCTGTTGCGACACCAATTCTTGTTTCAGCGTCATCTCCAAGTACACTTTTTGCTGTTTTAAGTGCTTCAACAGCGAAAGAAATTGCATCATTTGCGTGTCTTTCTGATTGTGAAACAGTCTCGAAAATACCAGCACTTGCAACTAAATGTGAACCAATGATATCCACATTAGCAATTGTCTGGTATTTAGATGTAATATTCTCAGACAATTTGGAGTGTATTTCGAGCAATTTATCAATATCACAACCAGGGAAATGAACAACAGCAATTGTTGCTGATTGAACAGAGAAAGCTTCATTTGGATTATCACCAAGAATTTGGTCAGCCATTCTTCTAGGTAGCATTTCCTTGATAAGTTCATTGTGTCTTTCCTTTTCTTAGGCTAATTCTGCTTCCATTGCTTTGATATTTGTGTTATCTCTCAATATCAAATAAATCTTTCCACCATACTTTTGTATTGAAGCAATTGCAGATTTCTCTCCAATTTCAAGCAAGAAATCCTTTGAGAAATTACCTCTTGCATAGTTGAAATCGACATCATCAGGTATATCATGGCTATTTCCAAAGAAATCTTTAGCGAAATGGTTCATGTTTGCCAATTGATTTCCTTCAATTGTGCAAATACCATCAGGGAAATTAGCAGCAACTTCTTCGAACGCTGCATCATCAACAGCTTGTCCTGTTCTTGCCTTTGTTGCGAAATCACCTGATAAAATAGTCATGATGTAATCACTTTGTAGAATTGTTGATGCAGGAGCATGTAACAATTGATACAAAATCATTTTGACTTCTTCGGTTGATTTCAACAAACTTGCACAATAACAAATAACAATAATCAAAGCAACAACAGCTAAAATAATTGTTTCAGCGTATAATTCATCTTTTGTCTTTGTGAAAATGCTCTTTAAAGAAGATTGAACTGCTCCATACAATGGCAAGAACATTTCACCTAAAACATTTTCAGTAGAGAAGAACCACAACAATTTCAAATCATCACTACTTGCATCAACTCTATTGTTTTGGACTTGTTGTAATATATAAACTCTTCTTGTCAAATCAATCATCTTCATGAACTTAGAAACTTCATCAGAACACTTATAAATCTGAAAAGAAGTCAAGTTTTCATCATCAACATCGCAATCTCTGTTTCTAAATTTATCGTCACCAGCATCAATGAAACCATAAATAGGATCAATATTTTGATCAGGATCACCAAATATCATTAACTTAAAGTGTTCTTCAGCTTCAGAAATATAACTTGGAACCATTTGTGCCAATACTTGTGTTGGCAAGCCAAGAATATTAAATGAACTAACAGAAAGAATAGATAACATATGCAACATCAAATTTGCTTCATAAGCATAATTAAATGAATGAACAACTTGATGAAGTTGTGGTGTTGATTCATTATAATTAGATAAGCCATTGATATACCAGAAACAAATCAAAATAATGTTGACAACCATAATAACAATTAAAACAAATGAATAACAAATAATCGTTGCTTTTTTGTTTTGATCACTATTCATTTCACCTGATCTTAATATAGCAATTGTCTTTTCTTCCATGTGTAATCTTTTTACATCAACCTGATCTACTTTCTCTGATGCATCATTATCTCTTACTTCTGTTTGCGTGTTCATTTTCTCAATCATTTTAGAAAGAACTGTTTTTGGCAATGCGTTGAAACAAGCATATATTTTCTTCTTCTGCGAAGACATCCATCTCGCTGTTGACCAAATAACAATTAAAATAATGATTGGCAAACAAACACATCCGACAATCATCAAAATCTTAAATGTTTTTGATAAAGAATCAGTTTGATTTTGAAGGAAAGACATCATATAATCAGAAGTTTTTTCAAGACCAGTATTATAATTATGGAAATTCATAATCAAAGCAGCAATATGTCTAAATGCATACAATAAACTAGGAACTTTTGTAATAACAATAGCATTTTGAACAGTATCAATAATAATATCTTGTAAACTTCTATTTTCTATAGTCATATTCATAGAATTATCATAAGCCATGTATTCAGTTCTTTTTTCAAACAACAATTGCAAAGCTTTTGTGAATTCAGCTGTAGAATAATCAGTCACTTTTGATTGACCAATTTGTTCAGTAATATACAAAACTTGTTCAATGAAATAACCAATAATTGCAAGCGAAGAACAATTACCTCCAATAGAAGGAGATATTGATCCATCATCAGTATAATAAGGCATATCCACATACTTTCAAATAATCCAGCTAATTCTCCAATGTAATGTACAGTATTAGTAACCATTGCAACAATATTTAGTTCTAAATCAGATATAGAAGAAACTAAAGTTGTTGGATTAGTTACTCTTGTTTCTACATAACTAATTAAAGTTAATCCTAATATTGTTGGCAATCCAACAAATAACAAAACACATAATAAATGTAAGAAAATTGTCCATCTTAAACTAGGTAAATGAATATTATCAATAGACATTCTTAATCTACTTTGTGTCTCTTCTTCTGAATCTAACATCGCTGTTCCATCATTATTCATCAATCCTTGGTCATCTAATTGTATTGCGTTCTGTACAGAGAACCTGTTGTCTTTGTTGTTTGTAAATAATGGATGTAATGGTAAATAAGGGAATGAATAGCGTCCGAAAATGTAAATTTGATCAACATTTTCCATATGACCATTTTGAAGATTTTTCACTTTTTCCTTCAGGGCTTCTGACTCCGAAATATTGGCCATGATTTCCTTTTGGTAGTTTGCGTATGCCATGATCGCGTATTGGTTGTTGGAGTGGTAATTCAATATGTACATGAATTTGACATCCAATTGTCCAATACTTTTATAAACAGCATTAAATAATGGTTCTAAATCTGTCAAATTTCCTGACAAAATTGTTTCCCAAGCGTTTCTCATTCTCAGTTTCGCTGTTGCTGTTAACTGTGAGATTGCTGAGAGTTTCTTCTTTAATGAGACAGATAAAATGGATTCTCTTCGCATTAAAATGGTTTGGATCTGTGATTCAACAAAAAATGATGCATTTGTACGTTTCTCGGCTATTTTAATGTGATGGTAGATCCAACTAAGTTGGTTGAACTCTTCTGGATAAATAACAAGTAGTTTGGCGTACAAAGTGATTAATTGATTATTATTTGGATGAATCTGCATCAAATCTTTGAAGATGTTATAGGATAGACAGTAATGATGTGACAACATGAATCCTTTAGTAATTCTGTGATACAGTAAAGTTAAATTTTTGATATTTGATAATTGGCCGGGATCTGATTCGTATTCGTCCAAATAGTTGAGGCTTTTGCTGATACTGCCATTTTCAACAAAGTAGTAGACAATACATATGATTACAAAGATTAAAAATGTGATGCCAACTAAATAATCAGGAACTGCCTTCTTTAAGAACTTGAAGACAATGCCAAAGACACTGGCAATGAAACTTGTGCAAAATGAGGCCATTAAAAAGATTTTTCGTGGTCTATTGATTATTATGCTTTGGAAATGAACGTTGAAGCAACAAATAAGACATAATACAGGTACTAGTATTGCTGCAATGTGTGATGCTGTTTTATTTGACGTAGTTGCCGATAATTCTCCAAGACCAACCATAAATGACACGAGATTCATCATGTTAGCATTTCCCATTTGGAAAATGAGTGGTAGTGAGCTTGGAAAGAAGAATATTTATTGCATGCTAAGTTCGGTCAAAATGTAAACCTCTCAATTTTATCGTCGGGGGAAGTAACTCAATTCCTTCAAAATTATTCTTTAAATATTGAATTTAAAGTTATTTTGTTGCATGCTAAGTTCGGTCAACGATAGGAATTGAGAGGAAATTAATCGTCGAGGAAGTACGATTATGTAAAGTAAAAAAATGTTGTGGGATTTTTAATATTGTATATAATTTTATAATAAAATTTTTGTGAGACATTTTAAGAAGCACATATAATTTTTTGAATTTAAAAATTAAAGTAGTGTTGAATGAATTTATTGATTAATTTAATACGGATATTTCTCAAAATTAATCAAAAATAGGTTTTCAGAGAACTTTTGAGATATCTTTTCAAAATGTCTTTTTGAAAATATATAAGTATTATATCAAATTGAAAAAAGGTATTTATCAAAATTCTAAATTCTTAATAAAAAATAACTTTTCAGAGGATTGTGATTTTGAAAGCATGAGTAATAAGTAAAAAATATCTACGATTTTAATGAGGGAATTGTTCCTTATGAGGTATACATTATAACTATATACCTCATAAGGAACAATTCCCTCTTGATAGCTGGGAAACTTTCTCTGAATAACTTATCATTTGGAGAAAGTTTCCCAGCTATCTATTAGAAACTAAAGGCTGTGAGGCACTAATATATAATCAGTGCCTCATAGCCTTTAGTTTCTTATTAAAAACGAGAAAACTTGTTCGAAATGATAAACAATTTCGAACAAGTTTTCTCGTTTTAAGGAGGGAATTGTTCCTTATGAGGTATACAGTATGAATATATACCTCATAAGGAACAATTCCCTCTTGATAGCTGGGAAACTTTCTCTGAATAACTTATCATTTGGACAGAAAAGTGACACTTTACATGGCAAAAAATAGAGCCTTACTTTTGAGATACTTGAGATTGAAACTGAATCTTATGAGGCGGTGATCTTGAATCACTACCTCATAAGGTTCAGTTTCATATAAAATTTGTTGCAATTTGTTATTCTTTTGCAATTATTTCTTATAAGATTTTACATCTTTTAGCGGGGAATGTTTGTTATCATGTATATATTATAAATATCTACACGATAACGAACATTCCTCGCTAAATTGCTGAGAAACTTTGAGGAAATGTCGAACAATTTCCTCAAAGTTTCTCAGATTTATATAGATCACTAGAGTCCCCTAGGCACTGATTCTGGTTCAGTACCTAGGAGGCTCTAGTTCTCTAACGAACTGATAAAATGTTTTTAAATTTTTGGATATTGCTACCTGTGAAGCACTGACTTCAAGTCAGTACCTCACAGGTAGCAATTACATTGAAAGATGGGAGAAACTTTGTCCGAATGTTAAACTATTCGGACAAAGTTTCTCACATTTGTAGTGGAGATGGAAGGCTTTGAGGTATATTGTATTAATATATACCCCAAAGCCTTCCATCTCCACTTGAAAGTGTCCAAACTTTGGGTTAATACTTTGCAATTAACCCAAAGTTTGGACACTTTCTAGAAGGAATTGGAGGGTAAGAGATATACATTCATATGGTATATCTCTTACCCTCCAATTCCTTCTTAAAATGGGAGAAACTTTGTCCGAATGTTAAACTATTCGGACAAAGTTTCTCCCATTTTTTGAAGGAATTGGAGGCTATGAGATACTGATGCAATGTCAGTAACTCATGGCTTCCAATTCCTTCCTAAAACTCATAAAAGTGGACATTACATGCATATAAAATTTGACATGTAAAGTCCACTTTTTGTGAGCGGGGATTTGACTCCGTCAAATCCCCTTTTTCGTTTACGAGAAAGCCAAATTCTCTCAAAAAGTTAAGTAGGACCAATTTTTTATAAAAAAAATCCAATTTCATTATGAATGTTAATTAATTTATATAATTATTGAATAAAAAATTTTCTTTGAGATTATGAAAAGTTCTTTGAAAAGTTATTTTTTCTCATTTTTAAATATTGTATTAGCCTATTTATTTATAATCCAAATTAAATAACTTTAAATTCAATATTTAAAGAATAATTTTGAAGGAATTGAGTTACTTCCCCCGACGATAAAATTGAGAGGTTTACATTTTGACCGAACTTAGCATGCAACAATTTAATTTGGATTATAAATAAATAGGCTAATACAATATTTAAAAATGAGAAAAAAATAACTTTTCAAAGAACTTTTCATAATCTCAAAGAAAATTTTTTATTCAATAATTATATAAATTAATTAACATTCATAATGGAATTGGATTTTTTTTATAAAAAATTGGTCCTACTTAACTTTTTGAGAGAATTTGGCTTTTCATTTTTTATTATGAGTAGACCAACCATTCCTTCTTGGTGGTTAATTCAAACACGCGAAAAACTTGAATCTCGCGAACTCAATTATTTAATTGCGTGTAAGCGAGTTCCATACGAGGATGAAATGAAGTGTGAATTTAGATCAATTTCGAAAAACACACTTAAAGCAGCATACACAAATGCAAATTTAACGCCCCCAAACGTTAAACCTGGTCCGGCACCAGATGATATTACTCCTGAAAATTTGCAATATGTTCTCCAAAAATTTCAGGAATATAAGTGCGGAATCCAAAAGATGTTTTGGCGTTTAAACATGGATCAAAATGTTTATTCAGTTTCCTACAATAAACTCAGAAGAATTTACAGTATTTTGGAGATCAAAGAACCAAAAAGTGACAGGCCCCCTCAAAAATATTATACGCCATATGAAGCAACAAAACCTGATACCATATGGCATGTAGATGTTCATTTTTTATACGGTTCACAGAGGTTACCTGTTTATGGTATAATAGACGATAAATCTCGGTTTTTGTTGGCTTTAAAAATTTTGCCAAATAAATCTTCCGAATCTACAACAAGAGTTGCCGAAGAAACGATTGGCTTATATCAAAAGCCATTTTGTTTCTGGTCCGACAACGGGGAGAGAATATGGGCCAATTTTATAATTGGCTCATGCGAAACAACATTCAAATCCGCCACACTCTCCCCCATATGCCGCGCCAGAACGGCAAGATTGAAAGGCTCTGGCCATCTCTTGAAAGAAATGTCGGCCGGTCTTCAAATGCAAAACAAATTCAAGAATTTCTTGATAAATTCAGGAAAAATTACAACTCAGTACCACATAAAACCCTTCCCAAAAAGGGTTTTCGCCCCATGACTCCAGAAGAGTGTTACAATGAGACACCACATTGGAAACAGGGTGAAACGCCATTTTGGAGAGTTATGATTGATGGACACTTCGAAATCAAAGAAATACCGAACCATTGAATACACAATTACGAATAAACGCTTAATTTTTATAAAAATCTTATTACATTTTTCCTGAATTTTTAAATTGTACAATAAAGATGGAAGGCTTTGGGGTACATATTAATATAATATACCTCAAAGCCTTCCATCTCCACTACAAATGGGAGAAACTTTGTCCGAATAGTTTAACATTCGGACAAAGTTTCTCCCATTTAAAGAAAGAATTGTTCCTTATGAGGTATATATTCATACTGTATACCTCATAAGGAACAATTCCCTCCTTAAAACGAGAAAACTTGTTCGAAATTGACATTGCGAACAAGTTTTCTCGTTTTTAATAAGAAACTAAAGGCTATGAGGCACTGATTATATATTAGTGCCTCACAGCCTTTAGTTTCTAATAGATAGTTAGTATACATATCTTCAGTACGGTGGCACTGCGCTCCATCTTACCGAAGATATGTCAATCTGACACTTTACAAAACCACTAACGTATATTTTACATCGCATATGCAATATTTCTAATAACCTTAAACTATTTCTGCCACGTAAAGTATTTATCACATAAACCACCTCATCTCACCTCTCTGTACGTTATATATTGTGCGCAGGTCATTGCCCATGGCAACTCCCCGCGACACAATGCACGTGCATGAAAAAATAAACGTTCTCACTAACGTTCTCACTAACGTACACACTAACGTTCACACTAACGTTCTCATTTACAAAAGTATTGCAACTCTTTCCATTGCTGTGCTTCACACAATAGTTCATATTCTTCAGTATCACTACTGTCGCTCCAATCGTCTGAGTCAAAGTCGCTGTCATAATTAATGTTTATAAGTTTTGACAAATGTAATGAAACACGCTTACCGTTTGTATCTACTGCTTGTATATATCTTCCATTATGTTTGCTATCATAAATGCTTAAACTAACTTTACCCTTTCTCCCTCGTATCTGATAGAATGTATTCTCACGAGGAACGAAGAACAAATTCTTGAACTCATGACCGTTGTAGTTTGTTATCTCAATAGTTTTCGTCATTACATCCAAATAAAAATTTTCAGTAAAAATAAAACTAATGAAATATTTTATTCCTCACTGTCGTCTGCTTTATCCAACTCTTCTAGCTTCTTCCTAAGTTCAGCAATGTTGTCCTCGTGAAGTTTAATCTTCCTTAATATACCTTCTCTATCTAATGGTTGCTTTATCTTTCTAAACTGAACTCTACCATCCTTCATAGTATGAATGTAAAAACCTTCTGGAATAGTTCCTGATTTAATGTATTCTACCAAAAACTTTTGTTTCATTGCTTCAGTGACTTTAGTCGTCATTTTACTCTAAATAAAATGTTCAAATAAAAATAACGTTATTTTTTCAGTAAGGAAACGCAGGAGTTTTACGATTTATTTGAGGAGTAGGTTCTGGTTTAAATGTTGGAGTCGGTTTAGGAGTTGACTTTTGAACAGGAGTTTGTACTTCCATAGGTTCAGGAGTCATTGAAGGTTTTGCTTGTGAAGGCGTTGGTTTTGGCGAAGGTGTTGGAGTTTGTTTAACTTCAGCTACTTCAGTATTATTTACAACATTTGCTTTATTTCTTTTCAACATCATAACTGCTCCTGCTGTAGCTAGCAAACCTAGTGGGAGACCATATTTTATATAAGGACTTGACCAAATGCTATTTTTGACAGGAGCTGGTGGAACACTTAACCTTGGTGAGACTGCTCTTTGCCATTGTGCAGCTCGTAAGAAATATTCAATAGGTGCTCCATAATCGTTTGGTAAAGTTTGTTTCATAGATGGTGAAGGTTCACGAGAGCTTGATGAAGAACTCATTTATAAGCTTTAAAAATAAACGTTCATCCTTTATTCCTCACTGTCGTCCGTAGCTAAGTTATAGTCATCTAATCTTATTATGGGGATGCCTGACTGTCTTACCTGAATGGCAAAGCAACAATCCCTCATAAATCCAATAAGTGGCTTTGGTACGTTTTCAGTTGCTAGTTCAATAGGTCCTTTAAGGATGGGCACTCATTAGGGTGATGAAAAAAATCAAGTCTAGCAAAGTCAATATATTAAAAACAGTGAAGACTATTATATAGCATTATAGTGCACAAGCTCAAATATTTAGTGATGCATTTTTCGAACTTATTTTATTTATAAGTTAACCTTGAAACATGAATTTTAGTATATCATGAGCATATTTTTTTCTAATTTTGCAATACTTATAATATCATACCAGGATTCATGTGGAAGTCTAATATTTGGTATATAATATTCTTACAATAAATGTATTAATTCAATTATATTCAAAATGATGGGTCGCAATTTTTACTGAAATTGCAAATTTAATTTCAACAATGAAATTATTGTTTAAAAAAAATAGCACAACAGCAAGATGGACAATCATATATAGAATTATAATGCTCCATATAATGCTTTGATTTGATGCGTATATAATGTTATTTTTCGAACATCTTTGTAAAAAATTGATTTTTGTAATTTTTGAAAAAATTCGATTTTATTTCGAGATTTCTTCTATAGGTGAAGTATATTGAACAATATTCCTATGGGAGAAAATAATTGTAAGTATGAGTACTTTCATTAATACTATGGGTGCCATGGTTATCGCTCAAACGATCAAGTTATATCTCGATTGCGTAAATTGAAATTTTGCTATTTTCTAAATTCACGGCAACAACATTCTTTTATCCTGATCGTACATCACAATATTTGAATGTGCAACCATTTGTTCAAGAAACCGTCAAGTTATTCTTCATTTTTCATGCCGCGGCGAACAAAAGCAGTTGCAAAGCGTATAAAGAACTTAGTTCAAAGCGCGAAAAATAGGGTAGAGCCATATGTCGTCAACACTGTTGAATTTGTGCTATCTGTATTATTGAGCGGCGCTACATTTTGCCAATCAGAATTTCAATTCATGCTGAATAACATCAAAGTTCCGTCAGAAGCTACATTTCATCGAGTCCAAGAAAAGGTTGGTCGTGTTATCATAGAAGTTGCCAGAGAATCTGTTAATTATTGGAAATCTCGAATGAGAAAATGTTCGGGACTTTTGTTTGACGGTTCTTGGAGTCAGAGAAGAAATGCAATGTTTTGCTATGTACAATTTGTAGAAGAGAAACTCAAAAAAATTGTAGATTGGGAAGTGATATCTAAATCTTTTAAAAATTTCAAAGGTAATTTCAACGGAAAATCAAATGAAATGGAATTTGAAGGCTTAAAAAGAATGCTGAAGCGTTGGAATAATGAAAAACGTGTAAATTTTTTTGTGCATGATGGCGATGTCAAAATTGTTTCTACAATCAAAAATACGTTCAAAGGTATCAGAGAATACAGAGATCCTGGACATTTTCTTAACAATATACAGAAAAAGCTCAAACTGCCAGAATTCAGAATCTTATCTAGCATTTCAAAGAATTTATTGCGTTGGCTTAGGCAACTTCTCAATGACACACATATGTCAATTAAAACAAAGAAGTTTTTATGGTTGAATTCCGCTAAACATTATGCCGGAAATCATAAATTTTGTCCAGATCCTGAAAAATGCAAGATGATTAAACCATGGAAATATGCAAAAAATAAAACTGCTATAAAAACACTTAAAAAATTCCTCGAAGATACCGTAAAAATCTTTGATATGGTAAAAAAGATTCATTCAACTCAAGTAGTTGAATCGATAAACCATATCAAAGCAATGCTTGCTAATAAAAATATTAATTGGCATGCTTCTTGGCCAATTAGGATGGCAGTCACAATATTGCATTTCAATGAAAGTATGTTTGAAACGATTGTAGCAATAAGATACAGGTTAAATTTACCAACAATGCCAGAAATGATGAACAGATATTTCAGAATGTATGATACAACAAAAGATTTAATCAAAGCATTCAAAAATTCAAAGCAAGTTCAAAAAAAGTTTGCGGCATTAAGAGCTATAAAGAGAGGTCTTCAAGCTACCGATGATCGTATTACTCTTAAATCACATAAATAATTATTAAATTTATTTCACCCTCAAAACATCATAATCTTGCACCTTCTTTGAATAAACACTTTCACCTTCTATTTTTAATTAATGTTTTTTAATTGTCCAAAATTTTTAGATTATATAAGATATAATTTTTTATAAAAGTATTATTTTCTAAAAGATAAGTATATATTCTTAATCACAAAACCTAGCATTTTATCATATCTATATATCAGCTTCCTAAATATAATACTCATATAGTTAGTATGATTTTAATGTTTTTGAACATGAAACGAAAATATGATTACAATCATATAACATAATGGAGTTATTGATATAACTTATATGCATGATACATTAAGAAGTCTTCCAACAATATAGATATAGTTGTAGATTCCTATGATTCCTTTTATATTGTGAGATAATAACATTTTTATGCTGTCAGGAGCCTATGAGTGCCCATCCTTAACAGACAATTTGTATGTTATTGGAGCAGTAGATGTTTGACCTTGCTGGAAGCAAAAGTCCACTTCTGTTGGAAAACCACATAAGAAATGTGTGTTGTCATAGCTATCCCATTTATGTTCCACACTACCATCATCCACCAATGACCTCATAACATCTTCATTAAATCCTATCATATCATTGTTTGTATTGCAGGCGTTCGCAACCATTTCATAAAATACAGGTCCATATGATTTTTCGGGTTCTGCAGGCATATTTCCATAAGCTCCCATGGAAAGCTGAAGATATTTAAACTTAGGGTTCTCAAAATTAACATAATAGTTGTCTTTCTTTCTAAATAGTGCCCAAATACTTTTAACATTAATAGGCGTATAAGCTGCTGTAAATGTTGCACTTGAACTATCTGTATTCTTTGAGAATGAACCGTCCATAGGAATCCAATCCATAACTTTAACAGGAAAACATAAAGCCTCGTTTGTATAATGTTCTACAAGTTCTGTATAAATGTTAGGGTCTAAAGAGAATGACTTTGGATGAATGAAACATTCATTAAAATCCATCTTTGTTCGAAATAGTTGCTGGGTTACAGTTGTAATAGTAACTGTTCCACTAGCTTCTACTGCCTTCGTTATCATAGTGACTGGTTCATTCCATGGAACAAATTTATTTGTCGGTGGATTTGAATCTGAAGCAAATGCAACTTTAAGAGTTGGATTGAAAGCAATGATATCATTTACAGATATAGATGTGCATTGTAAGGCGTCGCTACTGAACTTTACTTTAAGCTGAATGTTTCCTGCAAAAGCTGGAATAAATCGAATAGCTTCTAATGGAAGGAATCTTCTAACAGGAATTCTTAAACGAAGCTTAAAATCAAATGATTTTCCTGCTGTAATTGGACCACTAACAATTTGTCCTGTTCTGCATGTTCCCGAATGACTCCATACATCTTCATGTCGAGTCTTTGAGAAAACATCTACTTTCTTTATTTGTTCGGTAGTTTGTGAGTTTGAAGTTTATATATGCTTCTTCTCTTGCGTTGTCTTGAGAATATACGATACGACCATTTGCAAGGATTTGATATCCAGCAACTGCATAGAAAGCGTCATCGAAACCAATCCAAAATCCTGGTGGGTTTGTTTTATTGGAACCTGAACCAATTTCTTTATCTACAATAAATTGACCTTCCATTTTATACGTAATGAATGTATTGTAAAGGTCCAACATATTTTCACCAGGAGGTGAGAGATTGAATGTTACCCATGTGTTATCTTTAGCAGTTCCAGGTTGTGATGGAATCTTTGCGTCAGAATATTTTCTATTAGTGTCACCAATTTGAACTGCATTGTCTATGATATCGAAATATGAGCGAATCTGATGAATATGCTCTGCTGGAGTAAATTCGTTTAGCTGTTCGTTCTGCATGTATTTACTTCAGATAAAAATATCTATTTACTTCATTATTCTCACTCTTCTTCTTGGCATTCGTGGTGGAAGTTGTTTCTTGACATTTTCAATGAACTGTACATTCTCTTTTGTCTCAACTTCTTTCACTGGCGGGTCAGGATTCTTTGACTCGGTTTGTTTTTCAATGAAATTCACGAACTTTGCAATAAGCTCTTGGTTCGTTATTGAAAGTACATCTGGCTTCTTTTCTTCTTGTTCTTTTGGTGGCTCAGTTTGAACAGAAGGTTTTATATGGGCTTCGTGGACTTCACCCTTGCCATACACCTTAATGTTGTCGCTTTCTGCATTCGCTAATGGAACCTTTCTTTTTCTTACGTATATTTTACCATCTTTACTCTGACTTACGTAATAGAAAGGATGTTGTATTCCTCTTGCGTCATTTAATATAATAGACTCTCGTTCTGATTTTGACAAGCTCATTTTACATCGGTTAAAGTTTTAAGTTAGATTTTTATCTGCAGTCAAATGACTCAGACAAGCCCTACGGACAAGACCCAAGGGGTCATAGATGTTGAAGCATTGAAGAAAGAAATTCGTGAGCAAATTTTATCCGAACTGAAGGAACAAAAACAAGAACAAAAGCCAGAGAGACCAAAGAGAAAACTTAGTGAAAAACAACTTGCTGCATTAGCTGCTGGAAGACAAAAGAACCCACGTTTGCTGGCGAAGAAAGCTAGAGAAGAAGCTGAAGCAAAAGCTAAAGAAGCTGAAGCAAAGAAAGAGTAAATGATTTATTTTTATCCGAATTAAATGTATAGACAAATACCTTTATCTGTTGCGTTCAGTAGTGAAAACCCTGACGTCAAAATAAAGGGGAACAGAGTAACGTTTAAGTTTCCAACAGACTGGATTGTGAACATAAATGAAGAGAAGTACATTGGCATAACAAATATGTATATAACACGTGCTTTCAGAAAGGTTGACTTTATACTTCAAGTCGAGATAGAAAATGACGAACAGTCTTTAAGCGCCCAAAACATTCACATATACAAATACTTTAAAGACGATACAACATTGTTGCAATGTATGATTTCATTTAATGAAATGTTCGAGAAAAAGTTTAACATTGAAGTACAAACTTTACAGCCTTTACGTGAGTTTCTTGCACAACTGAAAGAAGAAGGTAGTCAGCCACAACTTATAGACTTTCATTATGAATTTAATGAAAATGAAGATGGAACACATGACTGTCAATTCATTGTATTCTCACCATTCAATGAAGTCGCTAAAAAGAAAGAAAATCCATTACGTATAAGATTTCAAATCTCTGAACCAAGTGATGATTTCAAGAATGTTTTCAATTATGATGCAATGCTTCCGAGGAAAAATGATTTTTCCGAAATTAGATTTCCAGGTATTTGGGATAGAAAGCAAGCTATATTATATTCAAACTTAAGTAAGGGAGTTGAAAATGAGTTCATTGGTCATACAAGAACTTCACCACTTCCTAACCCTAAATACTATAAATTAACTGGCTTCAATCGTGAGTTTTGGATAGACATGTTCTCCACTCATGACCATAACTGCCCAGTGTTCTTACCTCCAGACCATAAGGACTGTCTCTACATTGAAGCACAACTCTTAAACTCTACCATCGCAGTATTGTAAATGACCACATGGGCTTCGCCCTTGCCGCTAGTTTTATTTTTATCACGAATGACCTCATTGCTGACAAAAATAAATGACCTCAGAACTTCAACTTACGAATAAAGCTTGTTTTAGTCGTTATTGAGAAGTTAAACTTCTCTTCAAAGCAAGGTTGACATGACTTACATAAGTCAAATCCAATCTCTTGACCATCATGAAGTGCTTTGTAAAGTTTCATTAAACTGAACTCAGAGTCTTTGTCATATGTTCCTTGCGGAACCATTAAACCTTTATCTTCATCAGAGAAACACAGAACAGAGTCAGGAAACATTTCATTAGCTGTTAAAGCAAGAACGTCTTGCTTCACGCCTTTCATTCTGCAGTGAAATGCAACTTCATTTAAATCATTCGTGAGTAAGTCTATGTAAGTCTTCTTTCCACAAAATATTGACTTGTATGCTAAACTTTGTTTTCCAGGTGTTATTTCTGCGAAGTCAGAATGGAACTGACCTAATGTTTTACCAATAAGTTCTCTACCGTATCTCTTCTGAAATTCCTGAGCTAACAGTGGGATGTCTTCATTGAAAATATGCATGCTATCGCAGTCCTGGTAAAATATTTGAAGACCCATATCTTCAGCAGTACAGAATACTTCACACATTATTCTCTTCGACATAGACAGAATGTTAACACCAAGTGGACAGAAGTTAAAGTGTCTGCAAATGCTTTTCGTTAGCTTGAAAATAGTTTTATCTGAACCATCCAAACCTTCAAATTTAATGATATGGTTGTAGTTTCTGATGGCATATCTTATAGCATCTTTGTCATTTACTATGGTTATTTTTGACTCAATAGGAGATAGAATAGTTTTGCCATAAATACTGTTCAGAATGAGCTTTATATTTTCTTACAAAGGATTTCCTTCTTTCTTATACTTTAACCTTAACTCAAACAACTTCTTTACTTCATCTCTTATTCTAATATCTCTGTTTCCATCGTAATAGTATCCTTGCAACACTTCACATTTGACACCTTGATATTTTATGAGGTCTTGTAATGTTATATGGTCAACATACATTAAACAGCAAGTGTTTGAACTTCTGGGAACGTTAAGTTCTGGATTTAGTTTAGGGTCACAAACTATTAAAGGAAAGTGTCTATGTATTCCAATCTCTGTTATCTTAATGAGAACAAAGAAGCCGGACATAAACTTTTCACCAATGGGTTCCTTTTGGTCGTCATCGAATAAATGTCTCATGAGATACTCTGTGCTTAACATTTCTTTCTCCAATACTTTCGGTATACCTTCTAAAGTATAAAGTCTTGCTATAGCTGATGGATATAATGAAACAGCGTCGAAATCAGCAATGAGTTTCTCTTTACTCTTTTGTTTCATGTTATCTGACAGCATACATCTTCCACCTTGAATACAGCGTGAAATAAATTCTCTTGGTTTATTTGAGAGGTCATATAAATTTCCATTCGGGAAGTACACTCTGTTCTCAAATAATTTGTTAGCAATTGAACAAATACTAACGTAGTCATAAACGTTTAAATCAAATTCTTTCAATATGTCATTGCGGAACTTAACAAAACCTTCTCTTAAAATTCTTACATCTTGTTTGCAATAAAATGTGCTATACTTTTCTAAGTCGAAGTGGTTTTCATCTATTCTGCAACCTTTGATAGAATCTATGTTTTTCATGAACGTATCCGCATCATGGATAAACTTACACGCTTCAGAAATGACACCAGTTCTGTTGTCATTTGCTAACAAAACACTGCTGTAGTAGTTGTATGGAAATACTTCTTTCGGTCCTGTTTGTAAGTTAAACATAGCAGGAAATAGTTTAAGCTTCTTATTTATAACACTGTAAGAGTCTTTTATAATAATTGCCCTTCCTTTATATAAGCCAGTTATTTGCATTGTTCGTGAACCTTTAATGATGGGAGTTCCTTTCACTTCTGTCATGTGTCTTAAGATGAAGTTTATATCATAACTGAGGTTATGGAAATATATTAAACTCTTGTCAGGAAGTCGTTCCAAAAATTCTGTTGCACAGTTCTGACCCCAAATGCTTTCACTCACTGAACCATCTTCACTGTCATAACAGATGTTAAAAGCTTTATGAAAGCCGTCTGTGCTACACTCAAAGTCAGCAAAGAAAACGTGCTCAGGAATGAACTTGCACTTATTTTTATTTACTTCTTTTGACTCGGCTTTCTTCTTCAGTTGTACACAATACTTTGGAGCATATGTCAAATCTTTAAATGGTGCAAGGTTCTGTTTATATAAGTCAGTAGTATATGTGAAAAGTTCTCCATAAGAAATAGGTTCGAAATATAGGGTGTCCAAAGGTGCGTTTAGCACAGCGCTCTATATGAGACTATTAAAGGAGATATATGCTGATTATAAATATATAATAAAAAATATGAATATATGTATATGATGAGTATGTTGTATTTTGGCGCCATGCCGGGATATAAAATGAATTTTGAGACAAGAGGCGGTTTCGCGGGAAATTTTGGCGGGATTTTTTTCATTTTTTTAATGAATCATAAAGAAAACATCCTCGCTCTTGCAAAAAAATGCAAAGACTGTAAAAAATCTACGAGACATTGGTAAAATGCTTCGGTATAGATGCTCCTAGCTATTCCACTGTAACGTATCATGTTAGGATGTATCACTTCATGAACAAAAAGGCGCCCATCATAAAAATTGACAAAAAATCGCCGGATCAAAGAAAAATCAAAGCAATTCTTCAAGCGCTAGATGAAGACCCAAGAGCATCATTCAGAAGGATAGAGGAGATGACAAAGATACCACCTACAACAGTCAGTTATTATCTGCACAATTATTTGAACTACAAACTAGCGTATACACGTTGGGTTCCGCACAACCTTAATTCAGTTCAAAAAAAATCTAGAGTCCAATCTTCGAAAGAGCTCCTCTCTATATTGGGTGCGTATCAATCCAAGAAGTTTCGCTTTTTAGTAACAGGGGACGATTCTTGGTTTCAATATGCAACAGAAGCCAAAATCATGTGGATCCCGAAGGATGAAAATCCGCAAACATTCCCGAAGAAAAAAATTAACACACCAATGATGATGTTGTCGGTTTTTTGGGGCGTGAATGACATCATCGCAATTGATATTCTTCAAAAACCTAATACGATGAATGCTCAGTATCTAATTGACAATGTTCTTACTCAAATTATCAATTCTGATGAGTTTGAGAAATCCAAACAACGAAAACAAAAGTTTGCAATTCATTTTGATAATTCAAGAGTTCACAAAAGTCATAAGGTAATGAATTACTTGGTGGAAAACAATGTCAAAGTTGTTCCAAACCCAATTTATTCACCTGATATTGCACCCTCTGACTTTTATTTATTCGGCACGCTAAAAAAGAGAGCTGAAGGACGCGAATTCGCGAGTCCAGATGATCTTGAAAATTTTGTAAGAGAGCAATTTGAGCAATTTTCTCATGATGATTTAAAGCGTGTCTTTCAAGCCTGGATCGATCGCTGCGAACGCGTGATTGAATCCAATGGTGATTATATTTAAATAAACTTTATATATATGTAACTTGTTTATTTCTATTCGCAGTATTCAGGTTTGTGCTAAACACACCTTTGGACACCCTATATTTGCACTCCCACAATGTTTTCATAACATCCCATAACGGTGTTGTTTTATCATAACGAACTACATATTTATCTTCTCTCTTTGTATAAATCTTCATCTGTTTCTCAATGTTCATTCCACCACACTCCTTCAAGATTTCTATATAGTTGCGAATGAAATATGTTGTCATTGGTAATCTTTCATTTAGCATGTAGTGGTCTTCAACAAGAAGTAAGTCAATAGTTCGAGCAGTTTCACATTCTTTTGGTATGTAGTGAATTATTCTGTTATCTTTGGAGTTGTCGAAATAACCAATGGTAACATTAAATGCTATACCTGTTGCGTCAGAAATTTCTTGTACTTTACTTTGAGGAAAGTCTCTAACACGAATGACTTCTCTCATGTGGTCAATAGTTTCTTCATTTACTCCAGCCTGAATGCAAGCATAAACGAAACAATTGTCTTCTGTCATAAGTGCTGCAGTTCTTTTGTTCAGTTCATTGAAGATTTGGTAGCGTTCAAGATTTATAGGTAATGTGCAAAGATACTTCCAGAACTGACCGCTTCTCTTCTTATAAAACTTCTTTTCACCAAGGATTTCATTCCAGAAGTCATCTATATCTCTGATGTAGTAATGTTCCAATATTATTGAGGTTTAACGTAGAACATTCATACTTTCCACCAAGTTTATAACATACCATCCATCTTTGTTGTGAGTTTATTTTAATCTTCTCTAAGAGTCTCATGAAAACCTTACCGAAATGTTTGTGTAAGTAGTCTCTGTTTGGTTCATCTAAAGCTTCGATGTTAAAGTCAATGAGTCTATTGCCTGACTTCACATTTCTCTTCCTATTCTCTTCATCTTTCTTTAACCATCTCTCACCTTCTTTTGGTTTGTCGTCAATGGAACGAATGACATCGTTAGCTTTGCGAACTTGTTCTATAGCGCTCTTAAACATCTCTCTTCTCTGTTGTTTCAGTGTGTCGTCTCTTCTTCTTGTTTCACCAATGTTTGCATTTGTTATGTCAAACATTTCTCTTCTTACTTCATGAGGTACTGAACGTCTATGATATAAGTCAATAGCAACGTCATTTAAAGGAAATGCTCTTGCATGGACTTCGTCCTCGCCGCGTTGCGGCTTTATGAACTCATGAATTCTATCATAACTTATAGCACCATTGTAGTCATTGAGGATGTCAGCGAGTGCTTTTTTGTTTGTTGCGTAATGCTTTGCAACATCTATGTTAGCTTCTGTTAGAAGTTGTTTTATTTCCGAGTGTTCTAACTTAGACAACTTCCGATACATCTTTAGTAGGAAATAAAAAATTTTCTTAGAAAAAAATTAGCTTAGATTTTTTAAGGTTAGTTTTAAAATATTTCAAACTTTAATGAAACACATGCAAGATTGCAAGTTCTTTTCATACAATGCTCTCGCTACTGTCATCAAGAATGAGTTCAATAATGCTTCAAATGTTAATGTTATCTTTAACAAGAAGTTTGTGAAAGAATCTAAGTTTGGTCAGTATGTCAGACCATTAGCTATCGTCATTGACCGCAAACGTTATACTTCACAAGAGTTAGCAGTAGTTTTGAAACAAAAGAGTTTCTTCGTGAATGTCAAAGATACTCATTATACTGTTATAAAGAACTCTAACATTGACTTCTTCAGTATTGCTTTAAATCTTTCCGAACAGAAAGAATATAAGAAAGGTGAAACAAATGTGAAATATTATCCTTCATCTCTGAAGACAATAACGAACAAAGATGTTATACAGAAATTCTTACCAAAGGTTGAAGAAGCTTCTATTGACATTGACGAAGGAAGTGAAATGGTTGAAGAAATAGACCCTGAAGCTATTTAAGCAAAAATATATTTTTGGTGAAGAGGTGAGATCTCGCCCGTTTTTTCACCTCTTTTTTCACCTCATTCTCTCTTCGTTAATGTTGTCGTGACTTCTTCGTTAATGTTGTCGTGACTTCATTCTTCCTCTTTGAAGTTATCGAAATATTCTGTTATTTTTTCCTTCAGTAATGTTAAGTCTTCTTTGAATGTAAGTATTGTGCAACCTTTGATGTCATAGTGTGTTTGAGGAAGAGTATTTTTGACAATTTCCTTTATTTGTTCATTCGGTGTCATTGAAATCGGTAAGTTTTCACAAAAGAACCAGTTTCTGTCAGATTTATATATTTTAGCTAAGTCATAAAAGCTCTTGTTGTTTCTTCTGACTAAATGTAACATAACCATATCTTTATCTTCTTCTTTCTCCAACTCTTCAGTATATATCATATACTTATAACTCTTTTCCTTTCCTTTTGGTACTGAACGCGGTATTCTTTTCTGTATGCTTTTGTCTTTGGATTCAATGACTTCATCTTTTGCTTGAAGTTTCTTTTCCATCTCTTCACGTTCTGCTTTATATAGTTCATCTAACATCATGAAAATATAACAAGCATAACGAGGTGAAGTCCACATTGCTACGGCGTTTACTAAAAGTCTATGAACATAATAACCTTTCAAACCAAGAGCCAAATTCTTGCGATTTTCATACGGAATCTCTTCCCTCGGTTTTCCGAGGGAAGCAATCATATGAGGAAATTCTTCTAAAAGTTCTTTTGTCTGTTGGTTTTCAAACCAATGATATGCTTGCTTTGTAGAACGAAGAGCGTTCATTATACTTTGCATTTGGTACATATCGTCTTTGACCGAACGAATGAGGCGAAGTTGTTTGTTATATTGTATGTATTCGTATTCTTCATTTATGGCTTCATGGACTATAACTGTTGTTGTGTTCTCTAATGTTGACATTACTGTCTTTACATACAAAATAAAAAAATTTGTTAGAAAAAAATTAGCGTTATTTTCTGACTTTCACAAAAGACCAAAAATAAACGCTTTACATGTATTTTTCAGCAACTTCGTCAAATAATTTTATAGCTTTATCTATCTCATCTACTTCAAACGTTTCTTTACCTTTCGTGGGAGCACCATACATTTTCTCAAAAACTTCAAGCAGTTCTGTTTCAGCAGCTCTCATATCATTAACAAACACAACCTTGACTCTATTGACTGTAGAGTCATATCTTTGAGTTATATTATATGTTCTTCCTATCTTATATCTCTTTGTATTGAAGTCCTTCGATTTCTGAACGATGTAAAGTAAGCCTTCACTGCAACGTTCCGTATCGAATGAACCATAAGTTATGAAGTTATATCCAACAACTGGGTCTAACCATAACAAAACTATTGGTATAAGACTTTTGTCAATGAGATATGCTGTAGTTCCATAGAATCTTACTGATATCATAAGCTCAGGATTTCTTGTCAAAATTTTCTGAGTTGAAGCATTTCTAACCCAGTGGTTTGTTTTCTTTTCAGATGGAGATATAATGTCTGACAAAGAATATTTGTTGTATTTCTTACAGTATCTTACGTTTAAATCACCAATTCTAACCACTTTGGTGTCATTGTCTATCTTTCTAACTGTTTCAAACTCAATGTTTGACATTACTGTCTTTACATACAAGATAAAAAATTTTCTTAGAAAAAAATTAGCGTTATTTTTCTAACTAATGAAATTCATGAAATTTGGTCATTTTTCAGCAAAAATAATGTTTAGGGTAGAAGGTTAGATCTACCCTCATTTCTACCCTCATTATTTATAACCGTTTTACATGGTAAACGTTATGAATTCGTGAGACTCTAAACAGTTTTGTAGCTTCTATTTCTTCTTTTAGTACATCGAATGTTTTAACAATGCCGAAAGTTTCTTTATACTTCTTCTTGACGTCAGATAGAAGGAAATCGTCAGCAGTTGAATAGTTTTTGTTCAGAAATTCTAACATGTCCATTTCATTTTCTGCTGGTTTTTCTGCTTCTTTCTTTAAGTCTGCATAGTCGTTTCGCATTCTTTCTATCTCTTTGACTGAGTAGTTATATTTCCTCATTGCTGCCTTACATTTTGAACATTGCGGCATCGTTTTTGCGTTATACATTGAAATAAAACCAGCTAGAACAACTAAGGCGTCAATGGTTTTCTTTAAATCTGAAGCAGTTGGTTTTATCTGTTCATTCCATACCTTACCTCTTCTATCTTTATCTCTTATCTGCCATACACATTTTGCAACTAATGAAACAATGTTGTCGTATGTCTTAAACTCCCCCGATTTATATATGTCAGAGATGTTCTTATATACCATGTCGCAATCTTTGTCCATAACTTTATGGTTGCAATGATATCCTAGAAACTCATAGTTTACTTTACGTATGAACTTCTTTATTTCTACTGAGTCAGTTGGTTTCACTTCAATTTCATCGAATTCAGGAATAGTTAGTTTTTTGCTGCTGAATTTCAGGCAATTTGGGTAAATGGTCAATAATGTCCTGCATTTCATAAAGATACTGTTCATTTTCTTCATCCTGTGCGGTACAGTCTAAATTACTTGTTAAAAGTTCTTGCTTTATTCTTTGTATTTCTGTTACAAAACTATATGAAGAAGGGATGAAGCTTTTCATCTCTACTAACATAGATGTTGGATTTCATGACTAACGAGTTTTGGTGAAGTTGTTTGAATTGTTGTTGTGCCGATTGTTGAAAATCATATCTTTATACAAAATAAAAATTTTTTAGAAAAAAATTAGCGTTATTTTTTTCTATCTTAAGGAAATTCATGAAAATTCAAGAGGGTAGAAATGAGGGTAGATCTAACCATCTACCCTAAACATTATTTTTGGTCATGGACTTCGTCCTCGCCGCTTTGCGTCTTTATGAAAAATAATAGGTACCATTAATGATATCATGACTGTTCTCATTCATGTCTGATTTACATCTAATGAAAAAGTTTAGAAGAATTTTTCTTATTCTTTCTGGCTTATTTTTGTCTTTCCAGTACTCCCGCTCTAATGGTCCCAGATGTGTTGACTTTGACTCTCTCAAGTTCTTAGATGGTATAACATCTTCAACGCCTCTTCATATCTTACTTTATAAGTGTCATCGATCGTTTATGTTATAGCCAAGTATTTCAATAACCACTCTTGCTTTGCTTCGTCAATGGTTTCAGCAAGTTTGCCATTACTACTTTCAACTAATTTATGTCGAGGGTAAAACGCAATAGAGTCGTCAGCAGCTTTTATAAAGATATCCATTACCTCGTAGAGTCTAACGATATATATTAGTTTCTACTTAACCTTAAACGTTTCTTTGTGTCAACGGCTTGTCGTCAAGAACTACACGAACTTTTGTACCAGGAATGAGGGTAAATTGTGTTGAATTTCTGATATTTTGTGTTTGGCTTCGTTTCTTTTGTATATACTTTTCTTCTTGTTGTGTTGTCATTGAATTTTTTTGTCCTGTTGTAGAATGTGTTGAGGAATTATATACTTCGAGAAAATGTTCATTGTTTCTTCGGTAAAGTCTCGCTCTTGGTTTAAATCTCTGAGCGTTCTTATGAAGCGGTTTATGATGCCGAGTATGTTATGGTTATGGTCTTCAGTAGTGTAGTGAGTTATGTTATGCTTAATGAGAAATTATGTGATTTCATTGCTGAGGTATGCACTGTCTTGGTCTGATGTTAAAGTACTTGGGCTATGTTCTGCTACAAACTTTTGTAAAACTCTTAACACTTCACGAGTTCCTTTATTTTTCATTGGATATGCATATGCTTTACGAGTGTTAACATTAATGAAGATGAGGAATGGGTTATGTCCTCCTTTTCTGCTTTGAATGAGAGTGTCAAATTGGTATGCGTCAGGAGTGTTGGAGTAAATTGGTAAAAAGTAGTCGTAAGGGTTTATTTTTGTTTGATGTACAACATTTTTTTAAAGAACCTTTTCACTTCAGCTCTGTTAGTAAATCCCCAACTCTTTGCAGCTTCATTGAACTTCTTAAATGACCTCCATGGATGTTGTTCGAATACTTCTTTCAAGCTCATTTATGTAAAGTTAAAGATTTTATTCAAGGCTCAAGCGCGTTCATTGAATGCGGTACCATGCGAATATAGTCACAAATGGTGGCATATAATCTGCACCCGAGCCTGTTGGATTTGTTGTGAAAGTATGGACATGATTTCCTGCGGTTCCACAGAAAATACCTGCGCTTGAATCTACTGGGTCACTTGAAATATCATATCTATTCATTCCCTGTCTATCCGAACCTGCTGCAAAATTTGTATAACCTCTTTTTGTTATTGAATGTGAATGATTACCTGTTGTGTTTGTAGTTCCTGTATGAGTGTGCGGTGGAAGGTTTGCTTCTTTAATTTTCTTCGAACCTCCTGTTTGCTTTGAAGAGTTAGCACAGTATAAGAATTTGTCTACAATCTGTTCCCACGTACCAAAACCTAAAACACTTGCTGGATTTGTTGAGTTCATTGACGTATAAATAGAACCTATAGGATATAATGTTTAAAGTATTTCAGTCTTTAATGTTTGAAGCTCTGTTTTGTCTGCTTTCTTATCATATAAATCTTGAGCAGTGAATTTAACATTATTTTCATCATCCATGACATAAACATTTTTACAGCTAATTTCTTTCTTCGTTGTTATGTTTTCATTCGATGTTAAACCTTGTGGAAAGTTAGGAGGTTTATAATATAATGCATCCCCACCAGTTCCGCCAACTGTTCCTTCAATACTTTCTATAGCAACAGTTGAGAAGGAGTTATGTGTATGTTCTTTATCTGCTTTTTTATCTAACATTGCTGGTAGTTTATATGTTTCAAAGTTTCTGACATGACCTTCAATGTTCATACATTTACTATTTAAGGAGTTTAGTGTATCTTTTACGCTTGTACTTGGATTCTCTAAAGGTGCACTTGAACCAAGGGTATAGTTCAATATTATGTCGTCTGCTCTAACAGTAGTGAAGGATTCATGTGTATGGTTCTTGTCGGCTTTACTGTCTAATGTAGCTTGAAGTTCATTTATATCGGAGATGTTGTGTTTATGAGATTTCAAAACTTTGTTCATTGCTTCGAGTTCAACTTTGTCAGCTTTACTTTTAATAGCATCTTCAAACGTTATTTTTGACTTAACTCTCAAAGTAAATCTTGGTTCAACTAATACACCTTTAACAGAGAAAGTAGAGGCATAAATTTCATCGTTATAACTAAATGCTTCTAGCGCTTTACCCGTGTCATAATGTACAGTACAGCTTATGTCATAACCTTTAGCACGAATGTATTTATATCTTCTTTCATTAACATCTTCAGTGCTTATTTGTTCAACCTGTGTTAAATATCCATGGTAGTCCGTTATAATCTGTTCGTCTGAAGTTATATAATGAACGTGGTTTTTATCTGCTTTTTCGGCTAATTTCTCTTCTATCTCATTTATTTCAAGTTCATGCCTACCACCACCTCCCGAAGAAGTATTTTTCTTCAGCTCTTGAAGAACGTCCACTTCACCATCTTTGGTGTCAATAATGAGACTTTGTGTTAAAACCTTTCCTGTCTTAATGGATGTTTGTAAAACTTCTTCTTCACCGTGTTCGGGGTCATGGTCGTCATCATATCTTGTGAAATCAGAGATGTTGTCATACATTAAGCATATCTGTCTCAAAAGTTCTGCTATTTGAAACTGGAACGAAAGATATACAGAACTTTCATCATCTCCTAAAGTCAAGTCTGCTTTCTTAAGTATTTCTTGAATGTATGCAATGAGAACAGAGTACCTTGGAAAATATTCGAACAATATTTCATTAGCTGTTGGTTTTGGTGGTTCTTCTGGAGTTTCTGTTGTTTCAGTTCCTTCTGTAGGTTCTGTTGGAGTTTCTGCATCTCTTGACTTCAATGCTCTTGCTCTCAAAGACCTAAATGTTAGAGCACCAGGTTTTACAAAGGACTTTATAAATGCTTTAATAGTTCCTGGTAAGTTATTGTTAGCATTAAGTAAGTTCCTTATGCTTCCATCATGTACGTCCATAGCACTATGTAAAAAATCTATACTTTTCTTGTAGTCAGCAATAGACTGACTGTGATTTTTTAAAGATTTGTCAATACCTTTAAGCCAATCTTCATGCATGTCTGATACTGAGCCAAGAATATCATTTGCTTCCTTTAGTGTATTTTGTGCTTCTTGTAAAGTATCCAATCCCGTACGTGCATTGTTTGCTATACGTCTTACAGTATCTATTTGACTCCTTGTTTCTTGCATCCAACCAGATAAAGTTTTAATAGTATCAGAACCATTTGAAATGAAGTTCAAAGCATTTTTAACGTCATCTAAAACTTCTTCACCAAGTACTGCCCATATCTTTCCGATTTGGTATTGAAGAACTCCATATGAAGCAGCTGTTAAACCAGTATTTATAAGGTTCCATATCCATGATTTAGCAGTTTTTCCATCCTTTCCATCTTCACCATCCAAACCGTTTTCGCCTTGAGGTCCTTGTATTCCTTGTATTCCTTGTGGTCCTTGAGGTCCAGTGTCACCCTTCTCTCCTTTCAGTTCATCTTTATGTTCGTTATAATATTCTAATGTCATAAGGTGTACATCATTACTGCTACCAGCAACGCCGAGAATTTGTTTCTCATTCATGACTAAATTCTTTAGGCATTTAATGTTGTCGTCAAATCGAAAGCTCTTTAACAATTCAATGAGAACATTTAATACTTTCACTAATGAGGCATCTACTGTAGAATTTATATATTGCACCGTTCCATCATTTATGATGGGAACTTTACTTATTGTAATGAATGGGTCATAAGTGTTAAAAGTATCGAAATCAATGACTTTTTTAGTTTTTCCATCGTCAATGACTAAATCATTGCCTTCAATGGTTAAAGTTGAGTTTTCGTTTACTAGTTCATGTGCTCTTCTTGCTTCATTTGTTTCATACGCATATGCAGCAATAGTCATATTTTAATGAGAATAAAATGTTGTTCTATTTGCAAAGTACAGACCCAAACGAATACGGGACAGTAAAGCTACAAACAAACTTAGGTCTTCAGAATGAAGCGCTTGCTTTCAGAGTTGTTGACTTCAATACTATTGCAACTTTTGTCATAACAGATGAAACAGATTTCATAGAGATTGAAATAGATGACAAAAGAAGTGTTATAACATTTCCTAACAGAGCTGGGTATAGAATAGATAAAATTGCTGGAGTCATAGATACTCTCATAAATGAAGAAACTATTGACAACATAGATGTCGAACTCTCTTCTGAGGGAACATTGAAGTTCAGTTATGCGAAGGAGTTTAAGATAACACGAATGAGTCATAGAGTACAACTTCTTTTGGGTGCATACCATATGACATTTCCTTTGAAAAGTGTTGACAAAACGATTGAGATGAAATCTGTTCCATACGTATGTTATGGTAATTGTTTATACATTGAGTCTAAAATAGCTAATGTCACAGGCATTTCAGGAGTTAATAGTAAAGGTTCAGTAGAATATAAATCCTTCTGTTATGCAGTCAATTCAATGTTCATTCCAAACGTTCCTGTCATAGCAACTCATTTAGGTAAATGGGTTCGCATTAGTCCTCATAATTTGAAAGACATGCAATTCAGACTTGTTGACTTTCAAGGAGAGCCTGTAGAACTGAAGGCACCGGTGCGAATGACTGTTGAAGTTGACTTTTTAGAAAATATTAAATGCAACAGCTTACAAGAGAACTCAGAGCTAAAAATATAAAGTATGAATGTTATGTATTAGGGCATGAACTTTGGTTGTTGCTGTTTGATGAAACAAATGAATTAGTTATGTCAGTCAAGAGAACAGAAAAATATTGTGTTAGTGAAAACTGCACCAAGTCAATAAGATTAGGTTTGCATTATGAAGATGAGTTCGATACTGTTGAAGAAGTTTTGGATAGATATTACAAATTGCTAACTTGAAATTTTTTTGACTGACGGCGCAAAGCGCCAAGATGGGCTCAAAGAGCCCTCCTGACTGCTTTAATTTACTAAAACATATTTCAAGCAAAGTTTATATTCTGTTGAAAGTTTTGTATATTCATTCGAATATTTATACTTAAACTCAACTCCTGTAGTTCCTGGTGTTTCAATGATGCGGATGTTACCTATTTTCATGAATAGTGGAGTTTGACCACAGCATTCGATTTCAGGGTCGAGATAGTCAATGACACATTGTTTCCCTGTTATTCGTGAGATAACATTTTCAAGGTCCTCCTTTGTTAGAATTATTTGGTTCTTGCTTATAAGATTTGTCAAAAGCTTCTTATCGTCTTTGAGTAAAATTGTTTGGTATAACTGAAGAAGGTAATGGTCTACGTTATCTGAAGGATTTGTTTGAACATTTGTGTAAGGATTGTCGTTGGCTTCTCTTGAAAGAATTTGGTCCAGTGGTGGATACTCTAACTTAACATCTGATGTGGCGTTAGCGTTTGAAGCTGTGTTTAAATTCACGGATTTCAGCTCTGGTTCTGGTTCTTTCAAACACTCTGAACTATAGTTCTTTATGACAATATTGTTTGTCGTTCGTGAGTCAACATTTGATGTTGGTTCAATTGGAACATTAACGGCACCAGCTAAGATGGATTTGCTTCTCATTTCATATAGAATAAAAACCTTTTATATGTATGAAATGAACAATATACTCGACAAGGGTTTGAATGTAAAGCTAACGAATGAAAATATTGTTGAATTCACTGAGACAGGTGCTGTGTATAAAGATGTAGAACTACTGAACAAAAGAGCTAAGGGAAGAAGCAGGAACATGAACAAAGGGTGGAAGCCTATAAAAATTTATGTCAATGATGGCTCGGGAGGTTCAAACATAAAGTATGCAGAAAGTTATAGAGTTTATGCTCTCAAAGGTGAAAAGCCTTCATTTAAGAACAGCTATTCTAACGCATATCCTCAAAAGTTAACGGATGGAGAAGTGGATGATATGAATGACAGCAAAAATATTAACAGAAATGGCGACAGAGATGCATGGAATTTGTTTACCATCAGTCAATTGAAGGTTAAACTTTAAAACAATGTTGGTCGTTCCCATGGAATATTTTTGACTTTAATGGTATTAGTCATGATATGAATCTCAAGGTATGAACGAGGAGAGATGAGAGACTTATATGCTTCCCAAATTTCTTCAAAAGGTAATGTTATACCTGACTGTTTCCAAATGAGTTCAATATCATAGCGTGAGAAACCTTGAAAGATAACGAAGTCAGTTATGAGACGTTTTATGTTTAAAGCTAAAAACCTCCATGTTTGCATAAGTATTGCTACAGTTAAGTGGTAATGTCTGACTTTAGTAATGATGTTAGCTAATGGTGAGTCTGGTTTTGACACTAAACCTTTTCCGGCGAAGTCGTCGCAAACTAACAAAGTATTTGAAGGATATTTTTTGAAGGGGTATTTTGAAAGTTTTGATAGAATGTAGTTTGTAAGTCGTTTCATATCGTAAACTCCTGAGTACTGACGTAAGTGGTGTTTGTCAATAATTCTTTCCATCTCCTCAGAAGTCTTTTGCATTCCTGACTGTATGAACTCTACGATGGCATAATATTTCCTCTTACGTCGAATGTAACGTTGAAGAAATTCAATGAGTTCACTGTCTGGAACTTTAACGACAGAGGCTTGAACTTTTGACATAAATGTTTTCGCTGTTGAGTCCATAGAGTCTGAAGTTGCTGATATAATGATTTGGTCATAATATGAGTCATTTCCTAAACGCTCTGTTATGAGTATATGACGAATGAGGTTAAATGTCTTACCTGAACCCATCTTTCCACAATAGAAATAAACACCATTTGAACAGAACTCATAGTCCTTACTGAAAGGAAGAATAAGAGAAGAGTTAAGTTTGTCTGTAGTTTCATTCATGTCTTCATCTACGTCATGTATTAAATGCTTCATTTTATCTCCATTAAAAATGCAAGTCAGAAATATTCAGAACATAGCACCGAGTCTAACTGACAAGAGTATAAAGATATACTATGAACATGTTATGATGAAACAACCAAAATTCAAGAAAGTCAGTATACTTATGAATACCCAAGACACTGGGTAGAGTATGTAGGAGGTGAGAAAGCTATTGAAATCAGACAGGTTCGAAGTATTCCAGCAGGAAGAACAATATTATTGAAGAACTTTAATGTTTTGAGATATAATGATGAAACAAAGAAGCAAGATAGTTTCCCTGTTGCTGTGTATGTGAACTTAGATACAGGAGATGACATGAAAGTTTTTAATACAAAGCTTCAAACGGTAGTGAGAGAACAACTGACTGCGGAAGGACATCCATTACCTTCAGAAGTTACCATAGCATATAATTTTGAAACAAACTCAATAGATTTTAAAGTCATCTCTGCAAAGAAGTCAGGTTTTACATTTAATGAAGCAGATGTATATTCGAATGAAAACTTCAAAGTTATTGCATGGTTAGATAATGACGATTGCCTTAAGAAAATATTTAAATACAGTGACTCAACGATGTCAATAGATGACCTTCGTGGAATGTTACCATCGACGTTTACAGTAGAAGGTTCAGCAGGATTGCTTACAAGATTGTCAATTGGTGGTATTTGGTCTCGTGAGAACATTGTTATAAAATCCAGTATAAGTGAATTTGCTGAAGAATCTATATTATGTCTTTCAAACTACATGTATTCGCCGCCGAAGCATTATAGTATAACAAACTTTGTCAGTAAGTTTAACATAAGACTTGTCGAACCTTCTTCAATGAAAGATGTTGTGCTACCTAAAGATGGAAAGGATGGACTCATTATTGAAATGATTTTAATAGCATATTAAATGAGCTTGTTCTTGAAGGTCATTCATGATGAAATAACTGTTGTAGAAGATGTTAGCAATTGTTCAGACATTTTGAAGCGTATAGATGATATAAGAAATAAGTTAGATAGACCGCAAAGCGGTGAGGGCGAAGCCCGTGAGAATGTTTATGTTTCATTGACTTTCTCCAGTAACGAGAACTTTTATGAGATAATATTGAAGAGAGATGATTTTAATATGGTGTAAATGGTAGCTTGGGCAGCTTTAGGCGCAATGGGAACAAAAGCATTAGCATTTGGAGCAAAAGCACTTGGAGCTTATGACGCAGTAAATAAAATGAGTGGAGGAAGGGTTTCGAAGACATTAGATGCAAATAAAGGGAAGATTGGAGGCTGGGTTGCAAAGAAGTTAAGATTAAATAAAATAGGGCTCATAAATAAAGCATCCAATTTGGTTGCGACTGAGTCAGAAAATGCTTTAGGAAAGGACGATGAGTTTGCAAAACACGCAAAAGACTTTAATGACCAGATGAAAGGTGAAACAATGCATTTAAATAGAGTCGATGGAACTAAAGAAAATGTTTCTTCTCCACCAGTAGTTCTTCCGTATGGTCCCTATGGAATGTATGGAAACCCTTACGAAAGACCATTTGACCCATTGACTGATGGAAGTAACTGGTATCATTCCGGACGAAGAAGAAAGACAGTCAAGTTGGAGACAGACGTGAAGAAAGCAACTAAAAAGAAACCAAGGAAGAGAGTTATAAAGCAATGAGAACGTTTATGTTATGAGAAATTTTTAACGTTAGTTTTATTTTTACTGAAAATTTTTATTTGGATGTAATGACGAACACTATTGAGATAACAAACTACAACGGTCATGAGTTCAAGAATTTGTTCTTCGTTCCTCGTGAGAATACATTCTATCAGATACGAGGGAGAAAGGGTAAAGTTAGTTTAAGCATTTATGATAGCAAACATAATGGAAGATATATACAAGCAGTAGATACAAACGGTAAGCGTGTTTCATTACATTTGTCAAAACTTATAAACATTAATTATGACAGCGACTTTGACTCAGACGATTGGAGCGACAGTAGTGATACTGAAGAATATGAACTATTGTGTGAAGCACAGCAATGGAAAGAGTTGCAATACTTTTGTAAATGAGAACGTTAGTGTGAACGTTAGTGTGTACGTTAGTGAGAACGTTAGTGAGAACGTTTATTTTTTCATGCACGTGCATTGTGTCGCGGGGAGTTGCCATGGGCAATGACCTGCGCACAATATATAACGTACAGAGAGGTGAGATGAGGTGGTTTATGTGATAAATACTTTACGTGGCAGAAATAGTTTAAGGTTATTAGAAATATTGCATATGCGATGTAAAATATACGTTAGTGGTTTTGTAAAGTGTCAGATTGACATATCTTCGGTAAGATGGAGCGCAGTGCCACCGTACTGAAGATATGTATACTAACTTAGATAGCTGGGAAACTTTCTCCAAATGATAAGTTATACAGAGAAAGTTTCCCAGCTATCAAGAGGGAATTGTTCCTTATGAGGTATATAGTTATAATGTATACCTCATAAGGAACAATTCCCTCCTTAAAATCGTAGATATTTTTTACTTATTACTCATGCTTTCAAAATCACAATCCTCTGAAAAGTTATTTTTTATTAAGAATTTAGAATTTTGATAAATACCTTTTTCAATTTGATATAATACTTATATATTTTCAAAAAGACATTTTGAAAAGATATCTCAAAAGTTCTCTGAAAACCTATTTTTGATTAATTTTGAGAAATATCCGTATTAAATTAATCAATAAATTCATTCAACACTACTTTAATTTTTAAATTCAAAAAATTATATGTGCTTCTTAAAATGTCTCACAAAAATTTTATTATAAAATTATATACAATATTAAAAATCCCACAACATTTTTTTACTTTACATAATCGTACTTCCTCGACGATTAATTTCCCCTCAATTCCTATCGTTGACCGAACTTAGCATGCAACATTACCGTCCATATTTATTATGTTTCTCTCAATAAACATTGTTATTAGCATTCATATATGAACTTTTACAAATAAATTTATTCAATTATACTTCCATTGCTATCAATTGCTCTTTTTTTTATTGCCGTTGCTATGAATTTCATCTCTTTCTTTATATGTTAATATGCAAATATAACTTTTCCATTTTATCATGTCTGATCAAGTCATTCACCCGATCTATAAATACTACATTGATTCATATAATGCATTGTATCAGCTAAAAACGGAAAATGAAAAAGATTTAAACTCAATTTACAAAATTCTCAAAACAGAGCTGATTAAATCAAAGAAAAGCCTTCCCCAAAATATTATAAGAGATATTTCAGATATCATTATGTACAATATTCGCTATACAAAGTCATATTTATATCTTGTAAAACTCATCTTCGATGACTATCATGTGAAAGAGGAAAACTTTGTTCCTTGTGAATTAAGAACTTTGTTTTATAAGGAGTATGGAATTAAAATATACAATTCTGATGATTTCGAAGAATTTGATATTAAAAATCCCTTTATTCATACTGAAAATACAATTTACAGAGCAATTATGTATAACAACAAAGAAGAATTCATCTCATTCACTGAAAGAGAAGAATTTGATAAAAATCAAAAGTTTGAGGGAAATTTATATACATACCCTTTCAATGGACTTTCATTACTTGAATTATGTTGTTATCATGGAGCAGTTGACTGTTTCAAATTTTTAAGGACAAAATTTAACTCTGAAATAACTCAAGAATGTCTAAAATTATCATTTTTAGGAGGAAATCCAGAGATCATGAGTGAATGTTTGAAATATCAAAAACCAAATGATAAATGTATGGAGTATGCAATTATTTCACATAACATTGATTTTGTTACATTCTTGATGAATGAGTACGATATGGAGATCAATTTGGGATATTGTGGAGACTACAAAAATCTTGAATCATTTTTAGTTTATTTTGATCGAACTAATGATGTTAATAAATGCTTAGAGAGAGGGTCAAAGTTGCTATTTGTCACTTTTCCACAAGAATATAAGGGGAAAAAGTTATCATATAGTTGATCTCATTCAGTGAGCTGAGAGATGCATGTAGTGTAATGGGATAAACAGTGGGATTGCTGCTCTAAGTCCTAGGTTCGAGACACGTTGGCTTCATTTTTCTCTTTTTTATTGACGTAAACTATTCAATTTTTGTGTTCTCCATTCAAATTTCAGAATTTTTTTTGCAGATTTCACGCTACATTCGAAGTTACCTTTTGTAACAACCACCACTGCCTACGAAAGACGAAAGTGTGTCACGATTTCACCCGGAAATCCGACGGTTGTTTAAGAGTATGCACTTTTGTCACCTACTCTAAATGCTTATATTATTCAACAATGTATGATATCCCATCTCTTTGTGAATATTTTCTTTCAGATGGTGCAGATATCAATGCAAAAATAGATTATGGACGATCTGCTCTACATTATGCAACGATACGTAATCGTATAGAAATAGCTAAACTTCTTATATCACATGGTGTAAATGTCAAAGAAAAAGATGAACGCGGACAAACTGCGCTTCATTTTGCACCATGTAAAGAAATAGCTAAACTTCTCATTTCGCATGGTGCAAATATTAATGAAAAAGATGAACATGGACAAACCGCTCTTCACGAAGCAGCAAATTATAGATTAAAAGAAACAGCCGAGTTTCTTATTTCACATGGTGCAAATGTCAATGAAAAAAATATACTTGGACAAACCGTTCTTCATCAAGCAGCAACAAAAAATCATAAAGAAACAATCGAACTTCTAATTTCACATGGTGCAAATGTCAATGAAACAGATGAATGTGGACAAACTGCTCTTTATATTGCAACAATATCTGGTTATAAAGAAATAGTTGAACTTCTTATTTCACATGGTGCAAATATTAATGAAAAAATAAACTTGGAAAAATACCTCTTCAGTATGTGCAGAATATAATCGAATAGAAACAGTCAAACTTCTTTATCATCTTACATTTGGCTTGTAAAGTCCTACTTCATTACCAAAAATAATTTTTTCTCCTAAGCTATCATCTTGAATCAAAATTCCAATAGTTATATATATTTTATTTTATAGTCACGCGAAAAAGGTGTCCAAGGCTTGACAAAACTGACGAAGACACGACAAACCATCGAAATTTAATATTCAATTGCAACATATTTTGTCTAAAATGTTAGAAAAATCACATTTTGTAAATCTAATTTTAATTCATGAAATTATTGTTTCTTGATATGAGAACCTTTAGAACTTACTTCTCTTTGGCTCTCAATTTACTTCCTCAAGCCACATTTTTTGTTATATTGAGAATTCCTTTTCGATATAAAATTTAATAGTCTCATCAAAAGATTTTAAAAAGTTTAATGACTCCAAGCCATACAGCTTACCATCGGCAAATGTTATTGAAGATTCAAGAAATGCAATGAAGGGGTATGTTAAGGGGTGAAATTCTGAAGTTTACAATTCCAAACAAAAGTCTGTTTTCTGACTCCTCTGTTATGTTTGAACTAGAATAATAAAATGAAATATAAAATTCTACATGAGATAATGCACATATATCATTTTGAGGCTCTGCTGTAAAACATAATAATTTGAAATAAATCTGAAATCTGTATTATAGAACCATTTCGCATTAATAAATAATAAAGTACTTATGTAGATAAAGGAAATATAGTTCAAACAAAATATAATGTTAAATAAAATTATTCATATAAATTTCATTTTTGAATTTCAAAATTAAGTAATGAAATGTTACACATTTTTCTGAGGTATATACAGCTGCATCATTCATTTAAATAGATAATGTGTATGATTTTTGTGTTTTATTTTTGAATTTCAAACTGTATGTAGATAAAAGGAAATATAGTTCAAACAAAATATAATGTTAAATAAAATTATTCATATAAATTTCATTTTTGAATTTCAAAATTAAGTAATGAAATGTTACACATTTTTCTGAGGTATATACAGCTGCATCATTCATTAAAAAAAAAACTTTGCGGAAAAGGTAGTGTATTATACAATGCACCTGATTTCATTGAATTTTTACAGTCAGTTTAATCGTGAGACTACTTTTTTTGCGGACAAAAAAAAATCAAGATATCTCATCATATATTGGTAGTTGAGGTGTCTCATTATATACTTTAGCTTAATGAGATAATTTTATACTTATTTCGTTTGTATTGTCTAATCTATATCATAAAAAATTATTCACAATGAGATTTTTATTTTTAAGATGCTCAGTTTTATCATCATTTTCTAAGTCTTCCCATGAACTACTCCCTCCATCCTTTCCGAAATGTAATGAATATTCATTTCTGAAATGATAAAAAGTGAAAAAGTATTCAATTTTCTTTGCTTGTCTCATCTTTGAAATTTGTACAATTTCATTCCTAACTCCCAAGTTGAGCTCTTGATGATCAATTCTATCTATACCCTAAATATGAAAAAAAAAAAAAAAAAAAAAGGTAGTGGGGCTTCCAGGCACTTCGTGCCCTCTAGCCCTGAAGATGTTTAGTATAAATGAAGTTTTTATTCGGAGGGCTTCCCGAAGATGTTTAGTATAAATGAAGTTTTTATTCGGAAAATTGTTAGTCTTCTGGGTCGAAAACATTATATAATGTGTCGCTTTTCACAAATTATATATGTTTTCATGTTTTGTCAGTTTTCTGTCACTTTTCGGGTAAAAACATTTTTATTATTATATATAAATGAATTTTACAAAACCACCGTTACCGTTCTTTGGAAATAAGAGTAAATGTAAAGATATTATATTGAGAGAACTTAAGAAACTACCGAATGGTCTAACATTTGTAGATTTGTTCGGTGGAAGTTTCTATATGTCCCATTTATGTCATACCGTATTTCCTGACTCAAAGATTATATGCAATGACTTCGACAACTATATGGACCGTCTCAAACATATTCCAGACACAAACAATATATTGAAAGAGTTAAAAGAAAAGATACCTATAGGTAAGATGGAACGTATACCATTAGATAAGAAAAATATTGTGAGAGAGGTTTTGAAAAAAGCAGAATATATAGACTGGGATAGTATATCTGCTAGACTATTATATAGTGGTTCTATAAGAGTTCATGACATTGAAACACTTATGTCAAAAGTTTTATATCTTAACTATACAAATGTTTTCAAAGAGGACATAGAAAAATATATTGAGGGTATAGAGTTTGTGAGATGTCATTGGACAGATTTGTATGAAAAATATAAAGACAAGGAAAATGTTTTCTTTATAGTGGACCCGCCGTTCTATAACACATGGGATTTTCAATACCAAGTAGACTGGACTTTGAGAGACTCTTTAGAAACTTTAGACGTTTTACATAACCATCCATGCTTTTACTTTACATCCGATAAAAGTGGTTTGGAAACCGTTATGAGATGGTTAGAGGACATACATGACTATGAGTTTAGATATGACAAGATAGAATATGAGAGAGGTCCTATAAACTGGAGAAAGTGTCACAATAAAGAAATTTTATTAGTAAGTAAATGTGGTTTGAAATAGGACTACTTGTTTTAGGTTTTTTCCATTGTGTCATTTATTTATTTGACGTGGCAGAAAAGTACAGAGAATATGAAGATGAACCAATGCCTGCAAATGTTCAGTATATGTACTCGTAAGAGATATTTTTATCTAATATTAAATGGACGCACAGAACTTAGCGAATGCACAGCAACCTGGACAACCAAACCCAGAGAATATTCCAAATGAAGTTAGAATACAAACTGCAATGGCAAACTATGGTCAAGTGCCAACAGATGTACAAATGCAAACTGCCATGTCAAATGACGCTGCGTTAGGTTTGCCACCATGGTATGCAAATATGAGATGGAAAGAGTTTTATACAAACCCTGAAGTGGGATATAAACAACTTTATGCAGATGACGCGAACACAGGAGTTGACCCAGAATATGTTTTCTACCAGAGGAGAAACAGAATGTATGAGCTCCAGTTAAAGAATGCTATGGAACTCAGAAGGAAACGTAAGAGACTAGGCGGACATTAGATTTTTACATATAGTAAAATGGGTTTCTTTGGAAGAATAGGAAACTTCTTTCGAAATGTTGGAAGAGGTATATGGAATGGAATAAAAACCGTAGGAAGAGGAATTTGGAACGGAGTCAAAAATATTGGTAAAAGGGTAGGTCAGTTTGTTGGTATTATACCTAAAGACCCTGAACCAGAAGAACAAGCTCCTGTTATACAACAGCCTGAACCTGCACCACAGTCTAGTTGGCAACCAAATCCAACACCTCAACCGTATTAAAAAATTATATTTTTACCGTTCGATAGTAGTTGTATATGAAACTAAGTTCTAAGTAAAACGCATGGTATAATGGAATTATTCTTTTTCTTCCATCTGTAGTAAACCATACTTGAAAGTCTGAAATACTTCCACTTGGTGGTTCGTATAACTTTGTAGGTTTTTCGTAAAAGTCATTTGCCAAGCATAAGAAAGAGTTTTGAGCGCCAGAAAATGAAGCATGAACAATAATAGCAGCTGGGTCGAAAACATCTTTAAATAAATATGGTTCATCTCTTGCATATCGACTGTAAATATTTGCTAAAGGAAGTTTGACTTTCTGATTTAACATTCTTTGCAAATAATACCATGACATTGCAGTGAATTCTGTATATATTTGTTCGTCTTTCTTTGGATTGTCTTCGTAGATTTGAAATGACACTTGTGAATTTTGTTTGTCATATACAATTCTCACATAAAGTGTGCTCTCGGTATTTGCATATTCATCAGCATATTTTGCATAACATGAATTTATTTTATCTTCTATATTTTTTAACGCAGTCTGTAGAGAAGATGAAAGGTCAACTTGTATTAGCTCAATTTCTTCCCACATTTTTCGTTTCCCTTCAGATATAATCTATATGAAACCTTACAATAAATGGAAAACTTTTATCTTCTACAGACACAAACTTCATTCTACGAAAGCCAATAGCTTTTGTGACAGATGGGTCTCTTAGCCATCTTAATGGGTAGTCAAAACGATAGCCTTCATGCTTTACGGTCTCTGTCTCAAACTTTTGACCGACATTAGTAAAAAGTTCATCTAATGGTTTAGTTGTAGCAACTCTTGAATTTTCTTTTTCTATTGGAAGCATATTTTATCTAGAATAAAAATGTCGAAAGATATTGCTTCCATGAGAGAAATACAACACAACCGACAACTCATTTTGCAAGCTCTAAATAAGAACACAACAAACTTTTCAAACTATTCTAAGATATCTGAGTCATTGAAAGAAGGAAACTTAAAACTGACATTAAACCCAATGACAGATGAGTTTCTGTTCAAGACAATAAGAACCATACTGTCTGTATAAATCCAACAAAAGGAACTTTAAACGAGAAACCTATATCTGAACTTCTTTTGAAAGCAGATATTGACAACAAAGCTGACAAAGAATATGTCATTGAAAAAGTTCAAGAAGAACATGACAGAGCAGATGCAACATATGCAACGAAAGAACATACTCATCCTGAACTAGCAGACAAAACATATGTTGACAATAAAATGTCAAGTGAAGTGACAAGAGCTGAAAACGAATATTCTAAAAAGACTCATACACATTCTATATCTGAAATAACAGACTTACAAGAAACCTTAAACAGTAAAAGTGCCGTTGGACATACACATACCATTGCAAATATTACAAACTTACAAGAAACCTTAAACAGTAAAAGTGACGTTGGACATACACATACCATTGCAAATATTACAAACTTACAAGAAACCTTAAACAGGAAAAGTGACGTTGGACATACACATACATCTTCTGAAATAACAGACTTAAACGTTAGCCTTGAAAAGAAAGCAGATAAAACATATGTCAATGAAATATACCAAAGTTTGATAGGAACAACGAAAAATATTGAAACTATTGTTGGTGACTTTTCTGTCAATGAAGAAAACAAATATTTTAGATGGGAGTTTGTACACTCCTTAAAAAATGGTATACGGTATAAACTCATTCCGAAAAATAACAATGAAATGTATGTAGGCTATATAAAGAATGATGGTACACAAGTTAAAGTTCCATTAGACAACAACTGCTACTTAAACTTATATGGAGACGAACAAAAGAAATATTTAAGAGTTTATGAAATGGCAGATATGACATTGCCTGACCCAGCTCCAGCACCATATTATTATGACTATGGTGTTGACGCACGTGTAGACCCAAAAAAGCAAACATTATATTTAGAATATTATAGATATAAAAGATATAATGCAATAGAAAAAACGAGAATAGTATACTATTATGAAGATGACAGAAATAAATATTATAGTCAAGATTGTACATACCCTGAAAACATAAGATTATATTATAAAAAATATTCTGACACAAACCAGAAGAAACCAGAAATAGTTACACTATATTTTAAGTTCAAAAGAGACAATCCTATAATATCTCATATGTTTGATTTAATGAACCCAGTAGGTTCTATTTATACATCTATGGAAGCAAGAGGTCCTCAAGTAATGTTTGGTGTTGGTGCATGGGAACAAATAGTCGACAGGTTTTTGTATTGTGCAAACTCTTCAAAGGAAACAGGTGGAAGTAAAACGATTTCAGGTGAAAATTTACCTGCACATAGTCACTACATAGATTTAAGTACATCTCAAGCAGGTTGGCATAAGCATAGATATTGGGATTGGTCAGGAATGACAAAAGGTCAAGGATATGATGTTAAAGACGACGTTAAGTTTGCTATAAATTGTTACTGGGATGACACTCAGGGAGAAGGAAACCATACACATTTCGTTTCAGGATATACGCAAACAACGGGACAAAGTAAAGACTACATGCCACCTTACATGACAGTTTACGCATGGTATAGAATTGCTTAGTCGTCATTTTCAACTTCTTTAGCATATTGGTCAGGAGTTGTCTTATATTTGTTAGGAACTGTCTTTGAAAGTATACCACCTTGAACTTTGACAAGTTTGAAACGAGGTCTGACAATAGTAGTTTTATCTTCTGCTTGCAGTGTGTACATTTTGCCATGTTTGCCTAAAACTTCATAATATTCTCTTGTATACTTTCTTCTATTTTTACGAACACGAATGTGAGTACCTGTCGGGTTCCCATTGTTGTCATAGTCAATAGTATTTTCATATGGGTCGCGTTTAGGTATTTCTATTTTTACTTTGTCACCTTTCTTAAGTTTGAAGCCCGGCATTCTTTCTTGTTTGTCTCTTTTGACTAAATTATTAAATATATAGTCTTTCTCTAAGTCAGGGTTGTTTTTCATTTCTTCGGGGGAGTGGTTTCCCAAACCTTTTTGTTTACGGTTATTGTAAATATTTAAAACTTGTCTCATCTTTGCCTGGGGGAAGTGTCTATATTTGTCGTCATATGACATTTCATCTACCTCACCACCTTGTGGTTGGTTTAAGTCTCTTAAGATTTTTATACAACTGTCAATGACACCAAGAGCAGAATGGTTTTGGTCGACAATGAAATATTGGTTTACATTTTTTGAACGCAGATAGTTTTTAATATCATCTGATTTGAAAGAACTTTCACAGTCAGATGTCAGTTTTGTTGGATGGTATTTGTCAACGAATATTGTCAAAGCAGTTTTCACATCTAAAATATTTTTGGACTGTAATGGTATGGCTTCACAGTATCTTGTGTTTTGGACCAACAAATATTAGCCAGTATGGTGGTCCATCTTCTCTATACCTCGGAATGTTTTCCAAGATATCCATAAACCAAGCATTTGGTGTTGAACTAAAGATTTTTATCATGAGTGCTTTCTTTGTTGCCTTAGAAACATAGGGGTCCTTGTTCGGATTCGTCATTTTTTACCCTATAAGAAATGGGTTTATTTGGCGCATTAGCAGGAGTTTGCATCCAGATTTTTGCCCGCAGTGGAACAATAGGCCAGAGGTGTATTTGGAGTTGGAAGGAAGATTTTGAGTACATTAGGTATACTTAAGAGAAAGCACAACTATTATACAACTGTACAGAAAGGTTGGGATGTAGCACGAGATGCAGCAAATCTTATTCCAAATCCTGAAACAAGAGGAAAAGTTCAGGATGGATGGACAATGTAGGAAGACAAGCAGGAAACTATTATAAACAAAGCAAATGACTACTATAACAAGCAGGACACTATATGGACCAAGTGAAAGATTCTTTAACAGAGGATATAACCATGCACAACAGTGGGTAAACAATAACCAACCGCAACCACCTCAAACTTGGGGAATGTAAAGTTTTTTACTGAGATGAAATGAACAATACAGCATTGAGACAAATGGGTTCAAGATGGATTTGTCGACTTCCAGCAGTTCACACGTGTTTGTCAAGTTCTTCCTATACCTCAGGAAGTTTTAGACGCGACTTAAAAAACCTAAACAACCAGTTGAAAACACCAAACTAAAATTTTTTACTGAGATGAAATGACCGAAGAAGTTGAAACGGTAGATTTGAGACACCACAAACAAAAAGTTCAGAACCATTGTCAAAACCTGTCAAAGAACTTACAGATGAAGAGAAAATTCAATAAAGAAAGTGCCAGGTCTGGAAATACAAACCCTAACTATAAAGTCACTTTTCATAGAAATGGAACGGCTAGTATCTCAAAAAAGAAACAGACTCTCACAAATAAAATATTGAAGTCTGAAGGAGCTTTCGAGACAACAGATGGAAAAGTTTACTTCACTGACCAACAGTTCATTATAGAACATCTCATTGACTTAGAGTCGAAATATTCTAAACTTTACAACAAACACAAAAAGTTGAAAGGAAAACAAAAACAAATGGCATATGATATTTATGAAGATGTTGACGACACAACTAAACCTGCAAGTGAGGTAAAGTCAGATGAACCGAAAAGTGACGAAAAACCGATAGAAGAAGAAAAACCAAAAACTGAAGATAAACCAAAACCAAAGTTTAGTTTGGAAACTAAACCAAGTCAACCTTCATTAGCTGGTATGGGTTGGCGTCAAAGACTTCTGGTAGCAGGAGGTTATGTAA